GTGAACTGGCCTTGTGGCCTTGAACTTGTGCTCGGAATGTGTGGTGACTTTGTGATCCACCCTGAGCTTGTTTTTTACTTTGCTTTGCTTGACTGGTCTTGTGACCCCTTGTTCTCCCCCACTTTGCCTATGGGGGTGTGTCAGATTTATATGACATAGCTACTGTAGGCTAGAGTGGGGTAGCACATATGGGGTACAGTTTTCTAGGGTTTGCTTCTTGTACCCAACTTTCACTTAGTCATTCTCATTCCTGTTTTTCTTAATTCACATGACATACAAGAGGGAGCTCTTCAAGCATTTTGGGACTCAGCCATATGGACTTGAGCACCACCCCCTCTGACTGCATCCCCGTTTCCCGCCTCAACTTCTCTAGATCGGGTCGCCACACCCCAGATCTGGTGTTCTTCCCGCCTGTGTCAGAGCACCCGATTGGCTCCTCCACAAGTGCGTAACTCTGAGCCACGCCCCTCCCGCAGAGGACGAGTAACTCTGCCACGTGGTCCACGGTTGGCGCAAAATCACAAGATTGTTAATACACCGGATTCTTTCTATTGTACTACAGCAGGGGTTGTGGCCAAGTTCGAATTTAAAAAAAAAACCAGCTTAAAGTGGCTCTGCTGATTTTACGAAACTGTTAAGAGTACCTTGTCGCGATCGTAAAATCCGGAATAATACCGTCTTCTTGTGGTACCAAAAGTGTTTTACAATTCCGAATTCCCGGTTTCTATTGTGCTTCAAACATGGATTTTGCGGACACTTCGACTAATAGCGTGCAAAAAGGTGTACGAATAACAATAGTTTATCGTTTTGACATTGCGACAACTGTTGATCGTATTGATGTCATGTCGGAACTTGCAACTTTGTTGGATCGGTGCATAAATAAAGATTCCTTGTCGCGATCGAAGAGAACCGACCTGCTCGTCTGTCTGTTAGCAAATGGCCGTGGTACAAATTGCGTTTCCGAACATAGAATTAGCCGGACACACGCGCAAACAAAAAGCGCTCTAACAAGCGGAAGATGATGTAATCTCGTAAGACGTGTGCAAATCAACAAAAAAACCACTGTAAACATACTTCTAAATCGAACCCCGGTACCGAGTTTCTCGATACAGGGGTTTTCGTAAACTGGTTGCGACGTGGTCGCAAAGATCACGTCGCAACCGTTTGCACGAAATCTGGACGTCAATTGACGTCTGCACACTGACGCTCGCGAGAGCACATGCTTCGCCAGCTGAATTGCACCACGAATCTGCTCGGGCAGACCACTATTTCACGGGCAGGCCGAGCCTAGCCCTTGGGGCGGTGGGGGTTGTCTTGCTCGGCGCAAGCTTGCGCCGTTTCCGCAAGGGTCTATTCGAGCTCGACCAGACGAGCTCGACCTGCCTTTTTTCTCTGGAAAATCCGCTCGACCTGCGCCAAAGACAATATAACTTCCCGAAGTCAGTGCTAAGCCCGTAGGGCACCCTTTCATGAGCATATTACCGTCAACGAATGCTTTTGATATAAACGATTCGCCCATGCCTTCGCCCAATGGATTGTTTGCTTCAATAGTGCAATTTTAACAATTTTCGCTCGCCCACTTAATTGCACTCGTAATAGTATGGTTTATGGGATCACTGATCACTTGGTAAGCTCTCATACACTATGAAAAGAAGCCTTTTCAAGGCTGGATGTCAGAGTACCGTATGTGGATATGTTCACCGATAACCTGTATACGATCAAATTCCTGTTCGTCGTACAGCCCATCCCGGACGACGCTGATTGCGTTCTTCGAGATCAGCCGCCAGAGCCGCGACAGCCACCTGTTCCATAGACTACCCGAGTTCAGCGAATGACGGTGCGCCACGCGATTAGCAACAGTGCACCGATTGGGCACGCGCCAGCTCCCCAAAGGAGAAAACACACTTCTTGAACCGCGGCAATCTCTATGTTCTGTACGTCATTCGGAACGACGAGATAAGTGGGACGCGGCACCAGGGGAACAGAACTGAGCTGATGTTCGTCCCGGCGGACACTGTACGACTCAACGAGGAGGGTTCGGGAAAGGGGAAAGGGGGAAGGCGCGAAGAGGACACAGCGGCTTGCGGGCGGGCGACGACGACGACTCGTCGGATGGACGAGACGAGACAGTTGGGATTTTCTTAAAGCTTTCGTATACATTTGAAAGTGGGAGTTTCAGAAGTTTAGAAATTTGAAAACTGGTTACCCTATTACAGGTCATTTCCCTCGTCCCACAAGGGAGATGATCCCCCCGACACCCCGCACCATCTCCTCTGACTGCTGGTTCAAAACTTTTGAAACAACAAAAGGATACAAATTACCATGTTTCTCAGAACTAGGCCACTACGCACGATAGGCCGAAAACTACGTAGATAAGCAGATCGCGATTCAACAACCAGCGCAAAGAACCCCGTTTCCGACACAAACAGCGACGTAACTAGACGTATAGAGTCATTACGCGTCCGCACCAACGCCAGTTCCGCCCTCTCACACTCGCCTCTCCCGCATCACACGCGTTCGACATTGAAATAGCACTAGCCGCGCCCGCTAGCTTTCAAACGCGGCATCCCTCCACCTACCACTCTCGTCGCGCCGCATCAAACCGCTGCTTGTGGCCTAGCCGGCGCCGGTTCTAGTCACCTCGCCGAGCCGATCACAACGGACCTCCTTTCATTAGCCTCGCCTCGTTGTCCGTCGCGGCGTCGCATCGCCTCACCTCGCTGCCTCCTCACACCTCCTTGAACACGCACGCTGCATCTGAAACTGCCGAACAGCGGGATCTCGCACGATCACAGTCGCCTCCCGCTCGCGCAGCTTTGTTACCCCGTTTCCGCACTAGCCACGGCTGCCGCACTTGAGGTCGCGACGGACTGCCGAAACGGTCTCCTTGACCAGCCAATTCTTCTCCCCTTCCCAGCGCCTTCCCATCTCTGCCTTACGCCCTTTTTCCCCCTCTCTCCACTCTGCTTTACCCCCCGCTTCCCCGTTACCCCTAACCCGCCTCCCCATTACCCCTTCCCACCTCCCCGTTTCCCCTTCCCACTCCCCATTACCCCTTCCCGCTTCCCCCTATCCCTTCGCGCCTCCCCGTTTCCCCTTCCCGCCTCCCCAATTCCCCTTCCCGCTTCCCCATTACCCCTTCCCCCCTCCCCGTTTCCCTTTCCCTCCTCCCCAATTCTCCTTCCCGCCTCCCCATTTCCTCTTCCCTCCATGCCCTCGTAACCATCTCTCCCGCCTCCCCTACCTGCCTGCCTACCCTAAGGGGATAATGACGGGGAGAAGAGGGGGGGAATGTGAGGGCTAAGGGGGGGAATTGAGAGCGAATAGGGGGGAGTGTGAGGGGTAGAGGCCAGGGAACTGAGAGGGAGAAGGGGGAGAAAAGACCCGAAAACGGGGGAAAATGGAGGGGGGAAATGAGGGGTAAAGGGGGGATTAAGTTGGGTAATGAGGGGGGAGAAGGGGGGGTAATGAGAAGAGTATGTGCTAAGCTCCCGAAGCGCGCAGCGGGTGAGGCGCTAAGCGGGAAAGGAGTGCAGGGGGTGAGGCGCTAAGCGAGAGAGACGCGCAGCCGGTGCGGCGCTGTAGATGAAAACGAGGCGCGCGAACCTAGAGGAGCTAAGGGCTGAGGCGCGCCGCGGGTTCGGCGCTAACGGCGTGTGACATTTTTCAAAATCGCAGAAAGTCCGGACGTTGTGCGACGTACGTCCGAACGCTTGCAAAGCTGGCGACATCGTACGGTCGCTTTGCGACGTGGTAAGGACGCGAGGCGACACATACGACGTCGTTTCGATTCTGGACGAGCTAGCTGGCGAGCTGGAAGGATTCTGGTAACCACACAACCGTCCGAACGGCTGGACGTCCGGACAAAACAAAGGAAAAATGTCACACGCCCTAAGGGCTGAGGCGCCGCAGCGGGTTCGGCGATAAAGGGCCATGGTGCGCATCGGGTGAGGCGCTAAGTGGGAAAGGCGCGCAGCGGGTGAGGAGCCAAGCGGGAGAGGCCTACCTAGCGAGTGTTGAGAGTGGCGGCGTGGCCAACGCATGAAACGCGCATCCGCTCAGTGAACACGGCCCCTAAATTATCAATCGCGTGACGGCTTACTCGAGTGCGGCGACCCAGCGTCGTGATGCAAACCGCTAGCCTCGGTTCCTCTATCTATGCTTCGGCTAGTGAGTCACTGCAAGGTTGGGTGACGGGGGAGTTTCCCGTGTTTGGAACCCTCAAAGGTGCAAGTTTTCGCAAAACCTCTCGCCACCCTCATTTGGTTTCGTTTGAGCGAATTTTTTTGGGATACTGTGCAACCGTGAACAGTACTTGCAAATGTATACGAAAGCTTTAACGAAATAGAGCTCGAATACTACACAGTACCAGTGCAGTACTTAGAATCTGTCACCGCACCACCACACGCAACGCCAGTTACAGTACCCTAAAACCGTCGCTGTTCCTACTGTACTGTACACTGCCCTCGATTCTCACCGGAGGGTCGTCGAGCGCACGGTTTGTCTCGGCCTCTCTTCCGCCTGTCTATCCAGTTATCCGCACGACACTTCTACGATCAGACACGGCGTTATAAGGGCTGCGGTGACAGCACGATGAGGGTCGTGACGTGGCACGATGAATGCCGATACGACGAGCGTGGAGTGGAGAGGGAAGCGGAGACGGGATAAGGGGATGAGATGGGATGGGCTGGCGGGCACGAACGAGCACACTCAGCCCTACAAGAAGGACTCTAACGAGAGTCCAGGAGAGACGAGAGTTCGAATAGAGCTACGAACGAATACACTCTCGTCCTCGGCAATCTCGAGAGCCAGGAGCCGGAGAGTCACGAGCTCTAGTATTCGCCAGGGATAGTCCCGAGACCGTCACTGACGTCGCCGCTCTCGACTCCATCACCCATCACACCATTACCCTCTCCCTTCGCCCTCGTTCCTCGCCACCGTCGCCACCACCGTCGCCACCACCGTCGCCACCGTCGTCACCGTCGCACACCGTCGCCAGCATGGGGTCGCACACGCTCAACGCGCCGGTGCGCGTCTTCTCGTGGACCTCCCGTGTTTTCGAGCTCGTCTTCCTCGCTCTCCTCATCACCTTCTGCGTCTACTTCTCCAAGGACAAAACAGACCCCTCGCTCGCCGTGTATGGCGGAATGTCTGGTTGCTACAACTGCGACAACGGGTGGAACTGGCACGTGCTGCTCATGGGCATCGCCTTCGGCATCGCCATGACCGAATCCGTTCTCGCCTTCTGCTCCAGCTCTCTCAGGTATTTTACCCTCACCGTTCCACCTCTTTTCAAGCAGAGCCACTCCCCGCCAGTTCCTTTTGTTCCTCATCAGCACTGCTGCGCGGGAGACTTGCTCGTTGACGGCCCAACAGTCTCTAAGTGGCTCCTGACCTGATGACTTTTGAGGCGTCTCAAAACCCGTGTCACTGTGACCGTTATATAACGAAATAAACATATATTTTCTGTCGTCTTCCCGTCATCACTGATGGTTACGCCAAGTGGGTGCACCTGGCGTGAGCCTTGAATTCGATTGAAAGTCAACCGTTTTCTGTCGTCTCCTCGTCACTGCAGGGCGAACGGGTACGCCAAGTGGGTGCACCTGGCGTGGCAGGCGATCGCGCTGATCCTAGCGGCAGCGGGGCTGGCGTCTATCATCGTGGCCAAGAACTATTCAGACAGCAAGCACATGTACTCTGTGCATGCCTACTGTGGGGTGCTCACCCTCGCGCTCTTCGTTATCCAGGTCAGTGCCTGTGCGCGTTCGTACCGCTCAGAAGCAATTTTATCCCTGCGCCGCAGTTCTTTTGGGGCCTGTGCGCGTTTGTGCCGTTCAAGAGCCGCTTGGCTGACTTTTGAGTCAACTCAAGAGTCAAACTCGTGAGTTCTCCTCACTGTGCTTTATGTTCCATGGTGTGGCATGCTGTGTGCTCTGCTGTCCTCTCCCTGCGCCGCAGTTCTTCTGGGGCCTGTGCGCGTTCGTTCTCTTCAGGAGCCGCCTGTCCGAAGCAACGCGGTACCAGATGGGCACCTACCACATCCTGCTTGGGAAGCTCACTTACTACGCTGGCATCGGCACGTGCGTGGTGAGTTCACCTACGTGGCTGGTTCGTGCATGGTCAGTGCATTAGCGGTTTCCATCAAGTGACTTTTGAGTCGACTCAAAAGTCACGTGCGTGGTGAGTTCACTTACTTGCCTGGTTCGTGCGTGGTCAGTGCTGCAACAGTTGCTGTTAGCATGCTGCTGCTGTCCAGGTTCCATCGCAGACTCCGTCCCCTGCATTTCTCCCTTGATTATGTGCAGTAGATGTTAGGTAGGGGGAGGTAAGGCAGGTGAGAGGGAGGGAAGACATGAGGTGTGTGCCATCCGCATCACTACACATGTTTGAACAGTTGAGCAGATAACGTAATGCTTGAACATGTTTTTTCCTCCTTACCCAGGCTATCAAATACCATCTGTTGTGCTGCCTTTCGTCGGCCTGTTTGTGACACACAGAACGGGTTCGCGGACATGCAGATGATGATGGTGGATTCAGGGCAGCCGTCGTACGACAGTTCGACCATGGCTCAGAGCTGGGCCGCCGTCTTCCTCTGGTTCACCTCGGCTGCTGTGTTCTGCGCCATGACAACTTCCAGGACCGCGGAGGTCGTCACTGACTCTGAAGAGAAGGATGCTGAGAATAATGTCGCAGTGTAGTTTTGAGTTGCATCAGAGCTCACAGCGGTGAAATTACTTGAGGAATTGCAGGCCAGGGTTGTTTTTTTTTCACCTTTATGAAGAACACCCATCCATGTAGATCGGTGATATGTACGCAAGCCAGTCGTCTGTACTACTTGCACTGAACAATTTGTTCGCACGCTAGTCGAACAACCAACATGTTTTAGCTGGGACTCATTATAAGCTTCACAAATAAGGTTTCTACAAGCCAAACAAATATTGGTAAGAGATCAGATCAGTGTAGGGAGCATCGTATGCTACAAAGCTTCGTCAGAACCGGATATGTACCCTAACGAGCTTCAACGTGACGCGGATAAGTTGCGATTTACGGTTATGTACGATTGACCAGCAAGACCCAGACATATCGTACCATGATGTACGAACTGCGCTGACTGTGGTTCCCAGAGATTTATCCGCCCAAAGATGAGCCACTTACAGGTCGCCACGCGACCAGCACCGGCGCAATGATTGGCCACACGCCAGCTCCCAGCGCAAAAGTCCCTTCCCGAGCCGCGTAGATTCTTATGTACGTCACTCCGAGGGAGCACGCGTTGACACGAGAAAATTGCGGCGCGCGGTACGAGGGGAACAGCCAATCTTCGTTCGTCCTGGCGGAAAGCTACAGATCCAACGACCACGATTTTGTGTGCATGGGTTGTGGGGGGAAGGTGAAGACTGAGGGTGGAGATCGGAAGGGGGAAGGTGCGGAGCGGAGGGAATTCAGCGGCGTGCGGGCGACGACGAGACAAAATGAGATTTCCCAGAGGGGACAGTTTCCGAAGTATCTTTCGACCACACGCCATACGAACTTCTCACCGTAGAATCGTCGCTCGTAACATCCGATTCCGAGGCTCCCCGCAGCGTCATCAAGCGCGCGGTTGAGCAATCAGCACAACCCTTCCGCCCGCCTTACGCCCAGCATCCCTCCTTCCGCCTGACGCGATCGACGCGACGCGACAGGGGTTGCGGCGACAGCACGACGGGGGTCGTGACGTGGCGTGAAGAATGCCAGGATGACGAGCGAAGGACGAAGAGGAGAGAGAGGGAGAGGAGAGACAGGAACGGAACAAGAGCGGAGCGAGAGAGAGAGAGAGAGTAAGAGAGAGGGCGGGGATCGATCATGGTGGGGGAAGACACACCGGGGATGTCTCCCCTCCCCCAATCTAGCGAGACTCCCCTCCCCTCATTCCGAATGGTTGACATGGAAGTTGAAATAAGGCCGTCAGCCACGTTCATTATCGCCAATCTCGAGACACAGTCGCGAGTTGTCAGCGTCGTGAGGGACGTCGTGAGGGACTGAAGCGACACTCGACGCCCAGACGTCAGCCTCTCACTCTCGTCGTAGTCGCGATCAGCGTTCCAGCTCTCACTCCTTCACCCGCCTGCAAGCCTCGCCAGTTTATCCCCGCCCTCGATCCGCGCGCGCTCCGCGTTTCTTCGTGAGCCACCGTCGCTCGTCGCCCACCGTCGCCCACCGTCGCCCGCCGTCGCCATCATGGGGTCGCACACGCTCACGGCGCCCGTGCGCGTGTTCTCGTGGACCGCGCGTCTCCTGGAGCTCGTCTTCCTGGCGCTGCTCATCACCTTCGTCGCCTACCTCTCCAAGGACCAGACCGCCGCGCCGCTCGCCGTGTACGGCGGGCTGTCCGCGTGCTTCAACTGCGACAACGGCTGGAACTGGCACGTGCTACTCATGGGCATCGCCTTCGGCATCGCCATGACCGAGTCCCTCCTCACCTTCTGCTCCTCCTCTCTCAGGTACATTGGTAACCCACTTCTTCCGTCTGTGGCACGTGCTGCTCATGCTTGTCGCGTTGGTGGTTTTTGAGTCGACTAAATGGTGCTCGAACGGGTGGAACTGGCACGTGCTGGCCGGTACCTACCTCGCCCTCGCCCTACCTGGCTCTTGTCTGGCACGTGCTGCTCTCATGGGCATCGCCTTCCGCATCGCCATGACCGAATCCCTCCTCACCTTCTGCTCCAGCTCTCTCAGGTATACAGCCCATCCTCGCCTCCACGTGCTGCTGCTCCGGGGCTTTGCTTTCGTATCCCCATGACGATTTTTGAGGCGCCTAGAAAAACGTGCTGCTGCTCTGGGCTTTTCTTTCGTGTACCCATGGCTCAGTCCCTTCCCCCGCGCTTTCTGCTGCCACTCGGTGGGCTGATTCTAAAAGCTCGGAAGCTGCTCTTTCCTTCCTTCCTCGCGTTTTCATCACGAGACGGGAGTGTTTTTGCATGCTGATCGCATTCAGCTTGTCCGCATCGTGACTAAGCCGTGCGCGATTGCAACGTCTCTGTCGCGGTCACTGCAGGGCGGCCGGGTGCAGCAAGTGGGTGCACCAAGTGGGTGGCGTGGCATTTGAATCGACAGAAAGTCAACCCGTGTGACTGACTGTACCGTTTCTCTCGTCCGTCTCCCCGTCACTGCAGGGCGACCGGGTATGCCAAGTGGGTGCATCTGGCGTGGCAGACGATCGCACTCATCCTGACGGCAGTGGCGATGGCGGCTATTATTGTCGCCAAGGGGACGGAGCACAAGCACATGTACTCCGTGCATACCTACTGTGGCGTGCTCACGCTCGCACTCTTTGCTGTCCAGGTGAGTGGATGTTTTTGTCCCGGATGCGATGCTTCGCCATCCCTTGCTGCTTTATATGCACTGGCATCATGATTTTCAGCAGATTTGATATGGTGTGTTCTGGTCTGATCTGCTTGTATCTCATCTGATCATCGTGAGGGACACGGGCACTAATAATTCGGTTATTTATCTCTACTTTCTCCTTTCAGACGCATGGACTTTCCTCGTTCAGTTTTTTCTCCCATGCTGTGTGCTCTGCTGCCCTCTCCCTCCCTCCGCACTGCAGTTCTTTTGGGGGCTGTGTGCGTTCGTGCTGTTGAAGAGCCGCGTGCTCGATGATTTGCAGGGTGTTGTGAAGAATTCTGAAAAGCACCCTGCTGTGTGCCATTCTGTGTACATGCCTGCTGCCCTCTCCCCTCCCCTCTCTCCGCACTGCAGTTCTTCTGGGCCCTGTGTGCGTCTGTGCTGTTCAATAGCTGCCTGTCAGAACCGAGTGTTGAGACGTCTCAAAGCTCTCAAAACTCCATGTCGTATGGCTGCCTGCCGCCCTCTCCCTCTTCCTCGCCCTCCCCCTTTCCCTCGCCCTCTCCCTACATTACACTGCAGTTTTTTTGGGGGCTGTGTGCGTTTGTGCTCTTCAAAAGCCGCCTGTCGGAAGCCACGCGGTACCAGATGGGCACCTACCACATCCTGCTCGGCAAGTTCACCTACTATGCTGGCATCGGCACGTGCGTGGTGAGTGTGACACTGCAGGTAGTACCACTGAGCATTCTGTCACTGCCGCACTGCACTGTGTGGGTGCTGAAGCCACGCGGTACCAGATGAGCACGTACCACATCATCCTGCTCGGCAAGTTCACCTACTATGCTGGCATCGGCACGTGCGTGGTGAGTGTTTCAGCAGTCACCTGAAGCATGCTTGCTGCTGCTGTGCTTGGTGAATGCTGAAATTTGCCCTGCCTTCCACTCCCTTTTGTGGAAGATGCTGCGAGGGAGGGGAGGGAGGGCTGGAAACAGAGTGATTGGGGTTCTCTTTTCCGCTTCTCACTGATGGCCTCAAACGCCTTGTCTTTTTCTGCCATGTTGCTGCTTCTTTTAATGTGCAGAATGGGTTCGCGGACATGCAGATGATGATGGTGCATTCAGGCCAGCCGAATTACGGCAGTGCAAGCATGGCTCAGAACTGGGCCTCGCTCTTTCTCTGGTTCGTCTCCGCTGCAGTATTCGGCGCCATGACAACTTCTAGGACCGCCGAGCTAGTCACTGACTCTGATGAGAAGGATACTAAGAAAGTTGCGGTGTAGTTTTGAGTTGCGTTATGCACACAGCGGTAGGATTATTTACCATGTCACTCAGGGCTTGGCTTCCCCAACACAATGCACATAAGACATCGAATAGTTTAAATTGTGTACCTGTAAAAGTGTCTGTATCACGCCTTTTCGGCTGTCACCGTGATTCACGGATGTGAATTTGAAGGCCACGGAGTGAAGCTATGTGCAACGATTCGCGACTCGCAATTATATCTCACAAGAATTCCACCTTCCATCCAGCACGATTATTCGAATCGAAATGAGTGACGGACGGCCACGATGACGACACTTGCTCCCGCTGCCAGCCACCCCACCTTCAACCCATTCCGTTCCTGCTTGTCAGTGTACAAAAGGTCTTGTGAAGGATTCTTACTAGAGCTCAAACACCTGAATGCTCGACAGCACTATCGCCATATGTGTTCCAGCGTGACGGCTCAATTCTTGAAGCCCCTCAAATATTGTTTCTTCGTGAGTTTTTTTCCAGGAGCATAATTGGGTGCGAAACGTGCCCTCGCTTCATTGCATACTAAGACTCAAGTCCTCAGTCCGGCAACTGCCTAAATCTAGAACAGAGCCTGCTCTTAGCCTGCTTCGCATCGCCAGACGCGGCGTGGTTCGCCGATGGCTGAATTTCACGAGCAAATCGCCCTCTTTCTCGGTGCGTAGTAGTAGCGGTGCGGTGATCCGAGCGACTGACTGTGGTTAGGAGGGACCCAACACAGCGCGCCGATTCCTTCAAGATCTTATGCACCCGCTCAGGAGCCGGACAGGGATGACAATTTGCTGAGCCATCGTGGCGGGATCACATGTCCAAAACTCCCGAAACGAGTTAGGGCGGCCGTGCGATGACGCGAAATGGGTCTAAGGAGAATGCAGAAAGAAGTTTAGGGAAGCGCGGCTGAAAAAAAAGATGAAAAAAAAAGAGAGAAAAAAACATATATGCCCAGATTCTCCTCCCAACCTCACCCTCTCACCCCACTTACCTTTCCTCACCCCTTCGCCCTTTGCGCACGGAATGCAGTGGTCGCTGCGCTGTTGGTGCTCGCGCTGACGGGGCACGGCCAGGATCAAGGTGAGCTGCCATTTCGCGTCTCTCATTCGACGCAAGACCCACCTGTTTCAGGCTGCTGGTGCCGCTGCCTCACTCACGTATCATGTTTCACAATCTAAACTCAACTGCTTAGTACGGCTGTTGGTGCTCGGGCTGACCAGACAACCAGAGGACCACGTAGGACATTTTTAAGAGATCCTCCTGCATAATTACAGAATAATGGGGCCCGTTATTCACGCACAGTCACAACCACACTCACAATCACACCCACACTCACAGTTAAAATTCACATTCACACTCACACTCACACTCACAATCACACTCACATTCACACTCGCATTCACTCACATTTACGTTCACATCTGTTAATCTCCAAAGATGTATGACGCAGCTACGTGCTTCCCTTTCCCCACGCACCCAACCTGTCGTTTGCAGGCCAAGCGACCAAAATAGCGCACCTCGAGCATCCCGACCCACCCACACCAGCCCATCTCCCCTCAGCTAATGCGACAGCAAAACCAAACCACACGCTCGTTCCTCCCCCGACCATCGCGACTGGGGCAGCATCATCTCTCCCCGCAGGGGTGCTGTCAGATAGCGCCGTCTCCAGGCAGTACCTCGCCGGCGCGGCAGCGGTGGGCGGCAGTGGCGGCAGCGGCGGAAGCGCGTCGGTGCAGGAGATTTACGCGAAGCTGACGGGGCGACAGGTGGTGCCGGCGCGCGGAGATCCCAAGGCCTACGGCTTCCTGAACGCCACCATCCATAGGTGAGAGTTGCGGCGGTACAGTGCGGTACAGTGTGTTACAGTGCGGTACAGTGCGTTGCGCTGCGATCCGTCGCGTCGAGCTGCGTGCTTTACTAGCTATTACCAGCGGTTCCGCCATTCTCGAAAGACGAGGAAAGGAACCCGTGCGCGTCGGGCGTTTTTTTTGGCCTTTCTGCGCAACCCGAACTCTTCAATGCCGCAGCTGCCGGCATTGAAACCCCTCCATCATCATACTCCGCAGAGACTCGAGCGAAACGGTCTGGGTGGAATACAACGCGATTCTCAAGGGGCTGTCCCGACGAAATTATGGTGGCGTTAAGTTATTTCTTTCCTGTTCTGTCGTTACGTAACCAACCGCGTCTCCTGAACTCGGCAGAGACTCCAAGGGGCTGTTCCGGTTGGAATACAAGGTGATCATCATCGGGCTCTCGCGCGAGGGAATGCGGAGAAAGTTGCTTCTCGGTGAGTGAGAAATCAAGCACCAATCCCAAACGCCCCTCCCAAACTTGGCAGAGATTCCAGCGGAGCGCTCCGGCTGGAATACAAGGTGATCATCATCGGGCTCTCGCGCGACGCGCCGCCGCGGAAGATGAGCGCGCACCGCGGGAGGAAGGGCGAGGCGGGCGCGCACCATGAGCGCCTCCTGGACCTGCCGTGCGGCCCCACGGGGCGCCGCGCCGGTCGCCACGCCGCAGATAGCGCTTCCCTGACGGTGACCTGCGCTGGCGCGGTCGGGGGGAGCGCGGAGGAGCTGCGCGTCGAAACGGGGAGGGGCGCGGGGGAACACGAGGCGGGGAAGGGTGACCGTTTCGGTAACACTACTGGTAGTACCAGTAATGAAGCTAGTACTACCTACTTCGCGTCGAGTGAGCGAGACCAGCACTTGCTTTGGGATGCGGTGCGGGTGATTCTGCAAGAGCCGGAGAGTTATTATGTGACAGTCAGTACCACGCATTACGCCGGCGGCGCCATTCGCGGGCAGCTCGGGAGGGTGTTCGGGCAGGAAGTGTAATGGCCCGTTGAAGACGCAGGGAAATGGGAGGGAAAAGGTAACTATGACAACTACAAAGTGGGGTGTCAGTCACACATGCATGGGTCGGGTGCGGTTGGGCTGTTTATTGAAATTGAGAGACCCGAAGGGGTTTGGGGGAGGTTTGTGTCTAGGTTAGGGATGGGTTTCGGGGATGCGATGAAAGTTAGCAAGCGACAATATTTCTGGATAAATGTGCAATGTGCACTACCATGTTATATGCTATGACTACAGAAAACATGCTATTTGATGTGGTGTTGGACCCACAAGTACACCTCGAGAATGTACAAAATAGGAGAATTATCTGTTCGGAACGATAGTGGTGGTGGTGAACCCACCAGGAGTGACAGTAGTGGTGGTCACTGTAGCCGATGGCATTCGAGCAGCAGCAGCTGCCGCTGCAGACGCATTGGCAACAGCGGCAGCACCAACATCAGCCTCAGCTCCACCCCCCCCAAACCCTCCAGCCCTAAACCCCTGAGCAGTGTGAGGGTTGAGGGGATTGGAGATGTTGGCAGCAGCAGGAGGGGTGAGTGTGCCGGGAGGGGGGCCAGTGGAGGAGAGGAGCTGTGACAGCAGTGCTGCAAAGGACGACGGTTGCCCAGTGGGACCCGGCGGTGGCCCTGATCCGCCGCCACCTCTTCCTGCCGCCCAGCCCATTCCTGCCGCCCAGCCTCTTCCTGCAGCCCCACTTAGCCCTGCCGCCCATCCACTTCCTGCCACCCCACCTACTCCAGCTGCCCCGCCCCTTACTGCCAATCCACCTCGCCCTACTGCTTCCCATCCCCTTCCTGCTGCCCCGCCCCTTACTGCCAATCCACCTCGCCCTACTGCTTCCCATCCCCTTCCTGCTGCCCTGCCCCTTCCTGCCAACCCACCTCGGCCTGCCAGCATGGCTCCTCCACCTCCTCTCAGCCCTGAAAACCCACCTCGCCCCCGTCCCGTGCCCCCTCCTCGCCCACCACCTCTTACCCCAAATCCCCCTCTCCTCCCGCGTTTTGCACCCACCATCGCCCCGCCCTGCTCCTCACCCCTGCGCCTCTTCCTGCCCCGCCCCCCCGTGCCCCTTCCTCCAGTGCCCCCTCTACCCATCCGCCCCACAGTCCCCCGTGTTCCAGCCCGTACCCCAGTCCCCCTTTTATTCACCCACGCTTGCCGCAGCCCTCCCCCTTGCCTCCCCACTGCCGGCTTCTCCTCCCACTCCTCCTTACTGCCATCCTCGTTATAAGACGCGTCACTGTTGCTGTTATCTTCATCCTCGACAGATCTGCTCGACTCTTGACTGTCACTCCCGCTGCTGCCACCGCTGCTGCCACTGCTGCTGCCACCGCTGCTGCCGCCGCTGCTGCTGCCACCACTACCACTGCTGCCACTGGAACTCGCCTCAGTCCTATGCCCCATACTGCCACCGTACTCCACCTCATCCCACTCCTGCTTCACCTGCAACCCAGCCCCCCATCGCACGACCGCTTCCCTCCCTCTCCCCGCTCCTGCCCCTCTCCCACCACCTCTCCCTCTTCCCCCACCTACCCCAGGCCCCCTTACTCCCACTCTCCCACCACCACCTCCCCCTTCCCCACCGCCACTACCCCTACCAGCACCACGCTCCCCTCCCACACACACAGCACGCACAGCCAAGAGGGTATCCCACGCCCCTACCATCTGCCGCACCCCCACCACACCCGACCGCATCCACCACTGCCACCCCTCGTCCTGCTCCCACGCCCCCTCCCCACCCCCCCCACCTCCACTTCCCCCACCTCCACTCCCTCCTCCTGCACCTCTCTCCCCTCCCACCACATTGCCGGCCACCCTTCCTCCTCCCTCCCCTCCCCCCGCTCCCTCTCCCACGCCTCTCTCCCCCCCTCCTCCCTCGCCGCCTCCTCTCTCCCCCGCTTTCTCTCGCTGTTCTCGGAGCACTCTCGCATGCTCTTGCCAGCGTTTATAGAAGGCATCAGAGGACAGCATTTCTCGGCGCCGCCGGGCCAATCTTAGCTCCGCCTCGCTCCCGCCAGTCATCCCGCCAATCATGCCCCCTAAACCGTCTATAACCCCAACAGCAGCGCCTAGACCCCCACCAGCAGCACCAGTAGTACCAGCAGCACTGGCAGCGCTAGCAGGAGAAGCAGAAGAGAGGCGGGACCAGGAGGAGAGCAGGGACGGGTGCGCTTCTGACAGAGACCCCACACGCACGTCTGCTAACTCTGACAGGATCCCCTCTGCTGTGGTCACAGGCGCGGGCACAAGCGTTGCTGCTGCTGCTGCTGCTGCTGCTGCTGCTCCCCACCTCGTGCCTGCTCCACCCGGCGCAAGAGAAGAAGAAGCAAGAGACGGCGGCACCACCCGCGCCCCAGGCAGGTTTGAGAGGGAATGCAGATGCTGGGAGCGAGTGACTCTCGCCCCATGCCCTCCTGCCTGCTCATCCCCACTGGAGGCCCCTGAGTCATGGAGCGGGAAGTGAGTGCTTCGCCCGGCCATACCCTCAAAACCACCACCGCCATCGCTACCAGAGTCGTCACTATCGCCCCCACCTCCATCCTCCCCTCCATCCCCATCCCCACTCGCCGCTCTCCCGCTCCTTCCCCTCCACTTCTCCCCCTCGCTTTCCTCGTCCCCAGAGTCCTCGACCTCCTCTCCGCCCTGCTGCCCCCGGTTCATGCGCATTGTCCTCCGCCACAGCCGGTCAGCCATTCTCACCAGTGCATCCACCTCCTCCTGCCTCACATGAAACGTCTCATCCAGAATCCCTCTCAACCCCTCCGGTTCGCACTCCCCCTCGCCTCCCCTCTCACCTCCCGCTCCTCCTGCCGCTCCTCCCCCCGCTCCTCCCCCTGCTCCTCCCCCCGCTCCTCCCCCCGCTCCTCCCCCCGCTCCTCCCCCCGCTCCTTCCCCCGTTCCTCCCCCCATTCCTTCCCCCGGTCCTTCTCCTCCCACCCCTCCTCCTCCCGCTCCACCCCCTTTCCGCGCGGCTCGCCCAGCAACGAATGCTTCGAGCTGGTGGCGCACCAGGAAGCACCGCAGCCAGCTGGTGCTGTAGCGGAACGAGGGGGACACGCCCACCAGCGGGCCCAGGCGCTTCGCATATGCCAGTATCTGAGGGACCGTCATCAGCGGGGCAGGGGGGGCAGCTGTCGCTGCTGCTGCTGTGGCTTCGCCTTCTGCTCCTGCCACTCCTGCTCCCCCCCCTCCTGCTGCCCCTGCTCCCTCTCCTCCCACTCCTCCCGCTCCTCTTCCTGTTCCCCCCGCTCCTCCTCCTGCTACTGCCCCTTCTCCCCCTCCATCTCCATCCCCTGCCGCCCCACCCTCTCCCACTCCCTCCCCACCCCGCTCCCCGCCCATCCTAGCTGCAGCCTCCCGCACAGCCATAGCAAGAGCCTCCTCTAGCTGCACCTCTCTGCCCTTCCGCGCCCGCACCATGCCCCGCTGCATCGTCTCCCTCATAACCCCCTCCATGCTCAGCATATTGGCCGCTTTCAACCGCTCTAGCTTCACATTGTACCGCTTCTGCAGGGTCTGGTGGACAATCACATGGGGTAGGTCAGGGCGGGCGCGGTAGACGGCGCACGCGGCCAGCTTCAGCGGCAGCGGCACCTGCATCCGCTGCTTCACACCACCACCGGTGTTACCACCACCGCCGCCGTTACCACCATCGCTACCGTTACCCCCATCATTATTACCGTCATGGTTCAGAGGCCCCCTCCCTCCCTTCCTGCCTCCCTTCGTGCCTCCTTTCCTTGGCAGCAGCCCCTCGTCCAGCAGTGGCACGGCGTGCCCTGCGTTGATCCGCGCCACCAGAGCCATGATCCTCCCTGCCAGCTCATCCGCCTCCCGCGCTGCTGCCGCCTTTTCTGCTTCCTTTCCTGCTGTTGCTGCACTTCCTGCTGCTGCTGCTGCTGCTGCATTCCCTGCTGCTGCCTCCCGTCCTCCTGCTGCCTCCCCTCCTTCTGTCCCTCCCCCTCCGGCCTCCCCTCCTCCCGCCTCCCCTCCCTCCTCCCTTCCCTCCTCGTCCCCCCTTTCCTCATCCCCCTCGCCCTCACCGCCCGCATCAGTACTAGCACCATCGTCTGTAGTAACCCCTCCCCTCTCTCCATCCGTCCCTCCCTCATCCCCTTCCCCCTGACCCTCCCCCGCCTCCCTCTCCCCCTCGCCCTCCCCATTCCCGTCCCCACCCACCCCAGGTTCCCCGCCCTTTGCCACATCCCTCCTAATACTCTTCAGATTCAACCCCTGCCGGCGCAAAAACCTTGCCACCCAACCATGGCTGTAAGTAAAGGTTTTACGCACGCCCATGCGTGGCCCTAGCTGCTTCGCATACCCTTTCACATCCTCATACACTAAAACGTCCTCCCCATACTTGCCCTTCATTTCACGCACCCACTCTGCGAGTGCCCTCTCAAATTCCGGGTATTTCGGCTTTCTAAACCGGAAACGGTTCTCCAGGTCCTGAGACCGGAGGTAATAGTCCCTCTGGCTCAGCATTTTGCGAATGTTGCAGTACGGTACGCTCTCGAGCAACTTACCCTCACATTCCTGGGTAATCAGCCGCAATAGCCCCTTGACCCGCAACTCAGGCACGGCCTGCTGGAGCAAGCACATGGCTCGTTTGAACTTCACTGTGAGGTTGAAATGCCGCCGAGTCTGGTACTTCATTCCCCGCCGCGACTCCCGTCCACCCCTCCCCACCTGCTGCTGCCGCCGCCGCTGCCTCTGCTGCCGCGCTGGCTGCTTTTTCCCAGGAACACCAGACGCAGCACCAGCAGCAGCAGGTCCAGCAGGGACGGACAGAATATCCCCGGCAGCAGCAATGGCAGCAGCAGGCAGGGCTCCTGTGGCTTCAGCCAGAGCAAGGGAGGCCAGGTCACCCCTCACACGGAGAGACCCGCCTTCATCTGATATCGTGCCGTCTGCAATCGCCTCTGCTAGAGCCAATTCTGCTAGGGTGGGGCGGGGGGAGCGATCTGCTAGGGTGGTGGTTTGAGGAGTGGGAGTGTGTGGGCCTATCCCCCCCTCATGCACCGCTCTTTCCTCTCGCACCCCCTCTTCCCCACGCACTTCCCTTCCCTCCTGTGCTTCCACCACTTGTCCCATTTCCTCCCCTCCACCCTCACCGTCCCTCTCCTCCTCCCTCTCCTCCTCTCTCTCCTCCCCCTCCTCATCCCCGTCCTCCCCACTCCCTCCCCCGCCCTCCTCATCCTCCTCACTCTCCAAATCGATCACCTCGCGTCCATCCGCAGTCCACTCCCTCTGCCTCCTCCTCCTCCGACCCCTACCTCCCCGCCCAGCCTCCCTAATCTCCGGCCCAAACATCCGATCAGCAAGCTCCAAAAGTGAAGGGCCAGGATTCTCCCCCACAGCAGCAGCAGCACCCCCACCCCCACCCCCACCCCCACCCCCACCCCCACCCCCACCCCCACCCGCTCCCTCCCCCTCCCCGTCGTCGTCCTCCTCCTCTTCCTGAAAGTGTGCCTCCCTAGCTGCATCCAGGTGTTTCTTTGAGAACCCCCACCGCTCTTGAAACCGCATCACCCATCCGGTGCTGTACCTGCAGGTGGGTTGGGAGAGCACAGGAGGGGCGGTGGCAGCGGAAGCAACGGGGTTAGAGCATAGAGCACACCAATTTCTAAGCTGTGTGCACCTTTTCTAAAGTTTGAAGTTTAGGGTTTCGTGTTTCGAGTTCAAGGATAGGAGCTGAAAATCCGCTGGCACTCACTTGAAATCCGCCGGGGCGCCATGCAGCGGGCCAAGCTCCCGGGCCTTGCCAGAGACTCTAGACAGCGGAATGCGGCCGTGCATGCGCTCCTGCTTGTACCACGCTGCCAGAGCCTCCTCGAGCGCGTAGCAGTCGGGCATGCGCACGCGCATGTTGTGCACAAACCTCACGTTCCGCTCGTCAAACCACCGGCTCTCGTCCCTTATGATCTTGGTCACGTGCGACGACTCCATGCGCAGCCCAGGGAAGCGAATCTGCAAAGGAGAGGGGGAGGGGTTGGGGGGGATAGGGGTTGAGGAGAGTGGGAGTGGGGAGAGGGGTTGGGAAGAGGGGTTGGGAAAAGGGGTTAGGAAGAGGGGTTGAGGAGAGGGAGAGCGCCCCTCCTTGTACCACGCTGCCAGGGCCTCCTCGAGCGCGTAGCAGTCGGGCATGCGCACGCGCATGTTGTGCACAAACCTCACGTTCCGCTCGTCAAACCACCGGCTCTCGTCCCTTATGATCTTGGTCACGTGCGACGACTCCATGCGCAGCCCAGGGAAGCGAATCTGCAAAGGAGAGGGGGGAGGGGTTGGGGAGGGGGGTTGGGGAGAGGGGTTGGTGAGAGGGGTTGAGGGGAGGGGTTGGGGAGAGGGGTTGAGGGGAGGGGTTGGGAAGAGCGGTTGCAGAGAGGGGGGAGTGGGGCTGGTGAGAAGGATTGGCGCCCATCCTTTATGATCTTGGTCACGTGCGACGACTCCATTCGCAGCCCAGGGAAGCGTTGCTGCAAAGGAGGGGGAGGGAAGAGAGGGGCCGGGAGTAGAGGAAAGAGGAGTGGGGGAAGCGGGGAATGTGGGGAGGGGAGGTAGGTGGGTGGGGGTGGACTGGGGTGCTTGATGCTCACACACATGCTTGATGCTCGCACACACGCTTGTTGCGTGTCACGCACACGCTTGTTGCGTGTCACGCACACGCTTGTTGCGTGTCACGCACACGCTTGTTGCGTGTCACGCACACGCTTGCTGTGCGTGAACCTGACGCTCCAGTCGTCAGTCCGCCGGCTCTCCACCGGCACACATCTCCCGCTTGGTCGGCACATCCAGCTTGTTCTGCCTCGCCTGCCTTTTGAGGCGCCCCAAAACTCGCCTGCCCTGCTAGATACCGCTCCACCACCTCACCTGCAACAGCTGGATGATGTTGGCGTGGGTCAACCCCGGGCGCAAGCGCTTGAGGGCGCACATCTCCCGCTTGGTCGGCACATCCAGCTTGTTCTGCCTCAGGTGCGCCTCTGCTAGGTACCACATTCACCACTCTCACACCAATCACCACTCTCACACCATGCACCACTCTCACACCATGCACCGCTCTCACACCATGCACCGCTCTCACACCATGCACCGCTCTCACACCATGCACCGCTCTCACACCATGCACCGCTCTCACACCATGCACCGCTCTCACCTGCAGCAGCTGGATGATGTTGGCGTGGGTGAGGCCCGGGCGCAAGCGCTTGAGGGCGCACATCTCCCTCTTGGTCGGCACATCCAGCTTGTTCTGCCTCTTCGGCCGCCCCTTCCGCAGCCGAATCGGTCGCCACTCCCCCTCGTCCTCCACCCCACCCTCCCCCGCTGCTGCTGCCGCTCCACCATCTGCTGCTGCCCCCCCTCCTGCTGCTGCCTCACCTTGCGCGCCTGCTGCTGCCCGTTCCGTTCCCACCCCGTCCGCTCCTGCTGCTGCTATTGCTGCTGCTGCCGTCACTGCATCTGCTCGTCCTCCCGCCGCTCCTCCCGCCTCTTGTACTCTCTCGGACGGCCACGGCTCAGTGCCATCATCACCGTCACCATCATCGTCATCCTCATCCAAGGGCATGCTCCCCATCTCAATCTCCCAATCCACTCCTCCGTCCAGCCCTTCTCCTGCTGCTGCCGCCGCTGCGGCCGTCGTTGCTCCTCCTCTTCCTGCTGCTGCTGGCGCTGCTCCTGCAAGTGTTTGTGCTGCAGCAGCAGCAGCAGAAGCAGGGCCAGAAGCAGGGCCAGAAGCAGCAGCACCACCAACAGCAGCACCAGCAGCAGGAGCAGCATCCAGAGCACCGCTTTCAAGGGCAAGTGCAGCACGGGCAGCGGCAAGCCCAGCAAGATATCCTGCAGAAAAGCCCCTGCCTCTGCCTCTTCCCCTGCCCCTGCCCATGCGCCCGCCCATGCCATTACCCACGCCCCTACCCGTTCCCACAGGTATACCGCCACCTCTGCCCCCTGGCATGCCTCTACCCATGTCCATACCCATGCCTCTACCCATGTCCCTACCCATGCCTCTGCCCATGTCCATACCCATGCCTCTACCCATGTCCCTACCCATGCCTCTGCCCATGTCCATACCCATGCCTCTACCCATGTCCCCAGCCATGCCCCCAGGCATGAACCTACCCATGCCAATACCCATGTCCCTAGCCATGTCCCTACCCATGCCCTCGCCCATGCCCCCATCCATGCCCCTACCCATGCCCCTACCCATAACTCTGCCCATGCCCCCACCCATGCCCCTACCCATAACTCTGCCCATGCCTCTGCCCTGCCCCACCAACAAAGCTCCCCCACCCCTTCCTCTTCCCCCAGCTACCACGCTGCTTCTCCCACCAACGCCGGCAGCACCTGCATCAGCGGTAGCAGCACCAACACCAACAACACCAGCCGCACCTGCATCAACAGTAGCAGCCTCATCGCCAGTACCAGTGGCGCCAGCAGCAGCAGCAAGTGAACCAGGCACGGCAGCAGCAGCAGTGGTGGTGGTGGGAGCACCAGAAACAGGAGCAGCACCAGCAGCCGCAGAAGCAGCAGCAGGAGGGCCAGCAGCAGCAGCAGCAGCAGCAGCAAGAACGATATTCTGACCCCTGGCCGTACCCTCGCCTTGCCCCAGCCTCCCTGGCCCCTCGTCTCTCCTCCCCACCCCTTCTTCGAGTTCCCCACCTCCCCTTCCCCTGGCCATTTCCCTTCCCCTGCCCCTCCCCCTCCCCCTTCCGCTTCCCCTGCCTCTCCCCCTCCCGCTTCTCCCTGTTTCCCTTCCGCCACCCCCAGGTGCTGACGATGGGAGGGCATGGGCGTGAGTGGGAGGAGGGGAAGAGTCGCGAGTCGATTCAAAAGGCACCGATGCCGGGGGGAGGGTGTGCATGTGGGTGGGGGGATGAGGGGGATGGGGAGCTGCTTCTGGCATGGAATACGGCCTGACATGCTCACGACTTGGAAGTTGCGCAGAAGCTTCGCGTCCAGGAAGGAGCGCAGAAGGCGTTGCTGCAGAACCCTGAATGGCAGGGGCTACTACTACTGCTGAGGCTTGCTGCTGCTGCTCTTGCTGCTGCTGCCGAGCCTGTTGCTGCTGCTGTTCCTGCTGCCGCTGTTGCCGCCGCTGTCGCTGCTGCTGCGGTTGCTGTCTCAGTTGCTCTTGCGGCTGCTGCTGCAGCCGCCCCCGCTGCTGCTGCTGTTGCTGTTGCTGCCGCACCTGCTGCTGCTGCTGTGGAGGGTGGGGAAGTGCTGTGTGCGTGTTGCCAGTCCAGTTCACTCGTTGCCATCGTGCACCCACACTGGCGGCAGCGGCAGCAGTGGCAGCAGTGGCAGCAGTGGCAGCAGTGGCAGCAGTGGTACCAGCAGTGGCAGCAGCAGCAGCAGCAGCAGCAGCAGTGCCGGCAGTGGCAGAAGCAACAGGAGTGGCAGCAGCAGCACCGGCAGCAGCAGCGCCGGCAGCAGCAGCACCGGCAGCAGCGGGGCGGAAGGCAGCGGTGGTGATGGCTTCAGCGGCCTCTTCACCCCGCAGAACAAGCTCGTCCATGTCCACGTCAGCACCGTCCATGTCCACGTCAGTGCCGTCCATGTCCACATCAGCACCGTCCATCAGCTCTGAATCTGATGCTTCGTCCGCACTGTCCACTGCCACGTCAGCTGCTGCTGTTGTTGTTGTTGCGGCTGCTACTGCTGCCGCACCAGAAAATTGCGCGATTGGGCTTGCAGTGTGTCCCGAAATTGGGTCTTCTTGCCGCTCTGCCTGCCGCCGCTGCTGCTGCTGCTGCTGCTGCTGCTGGTAGTGGTGGTGGTGGTGCTGCTGTTGTTGATAATTTTGATGCTCTATTGGTTGCTGCTGCTGCTCTTGTTGGGCTTCTGGCTGCTGATCCTGTCCGTGCTGCACCTGCTGCTGTGCCAACTGTTCCTGCCACTGCTGCCATAGAAAATGCTGCTGTTGCTGCTGCTGCTGCTCCTGCTGTTGCTGTTGCTGTAGCTGTCGCTGTCGCTGCCTCTCCTGCTCCTGCTGCTGTTGTTGCTGCCGCTGTCGCTGCCTCTCTTGCTCCTGCTGCAGTTGTTGCTGTCGCTGCCTTTCTTGCTCCTGCTGCAGTTGTTGCTGTCGCTGCCTCTCTTGCTCCTGCTGCAGTTGTTGCTGTCGCTGCCTCTCTTGCTCCTGCTGCAGTTGCTGCTGTCGCAGCATCGCTTGTTCCTGCTGCAGTTGTTGCTGTCGCTGCCTCTCTTGCTCCTGCTGCAGTTGTTGCTGTCGCTGCCTCTCTTGCTCCTGCTGCAGTTGCTGCTGTCTCTGTCGCAGCATCTCTTGCTCCTGCTGCTGCAGCTGCAGCTGCTCTTGCTCTTGCTGCTGCACCTCTTGTTGTTGCTGTTGCTGCAGCAGCAACAACAGTTGCTCATCATCTAACCGCTGCTGCTGCAGGAGCTCCCGCGGCTGCTGTTGCTGCTGCTGTGGCTGCTGCAGCAGCTGTTGCTGCTTCTGTTGCAACAACAGCTGCTGCTGCTGCTGCTGCTGCTGCTGCTGCTGCTGCTGCTGCTGCCGCTGCTGCCAGTCATCCACATACCGCACGTCAGCTGGGGTCACCTCTCCTCTCCCCCCTCGCAACCCCCCATCCCCTTGCTGCCTCCCTTGCAACGCCTGCAAGCCACCACCACCATTTTCCCCGTACTCGTTACTGCGAAACTGCATATCGTTAAGACCCTCTCCTTGAACCCTTTCACGGCCTTCCGGGTGCTCTTGAAGCCGCTCATACCCCATATTAGCACCACCCGTTTCAAGCGTAGGCACTTGACCGCTCGCCCTGGTATCTGCAGTTGCGCTGTCCCTAGTAACCTGAATCAGCTCACCTTCCCCTATCGCATCAAGCCACCACTCTCGCCGAGGCTGCTGACGTGGCACGGGCTGTCCACGCGCTACAGGCTCCTGAAACGGGTGTTGAAGTGGGGCGGGCTCTTGAAACGGCTGGTGACGTGGCACGGACTCCTGACGCGCATGCTGACGTGGCAGCGGCTCCTGACGTGGCTGCCCATGAAGCATGGGCTCCAGGCTCCGCCGCGACACCTGTGCCACGCCTTGCGGCATCACAACATCTGGCTGCATCCGAGCTTCGGGCGGCACCACCTGTGCGGCCATGCCCTGTGCTGCCATGGCCTGTGGTGCCATGTCATAAGGTGTCATGACTTGTCGTATTAGAGCTTGCGGTGGTGCCACGCCTTGCGGGGTCACGTGGTGACTCGAAGCACTGCCATACGCGTCCCTTGCGCCAACGCTGCGCCCGCGCCCTTCGCGCCCGTCTCTCCCCTCGCGCCACTTGCCACCCCCATGCCCCACATGCCCCCCATGCCCCCCGTGCCCCTCATTCCCCTCTTGCGCCTCAGCAGGTCGAAACGCCTCAGTTCGCCCAGCACGCGCAGAACCAGAAGCCATGCCCACGCCAGCAAGCGGGCCCACTGACAGCTCATGGCTCAAGCCACGGTTTAAGCCGCGGTTCAAGGCGGTGAGCAAGTCTTGATCTCCCGCCCCTGTCTCCAACTCACGACTGCGCAGGCCTATCTCACCCATTGCCGCCGTACCCGCAACTCCCATGCCTGCCGTTGCCATGCCTCTCCTGTCCGAGCCTGTCCTTCCCGGACCTGCCATATCCGTGTTTGCCAGTCCTGTGCCTGACATTCCAATGCCTGCTCTTCCCGTACCTGCTGGTTCCGCGAAGCCTGCAGCCGCAAAAGCCTCAGGCGCAGTGTTTCGAGCGCTGTGGCCCGCCATTGCAATAACCGCTGCTTCTGCTCCATCTTGCGCTGCTACCAACCTAGCCCCGGTCGCCCCTCCTACAACCGCCAATCCGCCTGCTGGGGTAACTCCCGACCCTGCAGACGCTAACAATTCCGTCGCGGTATCTGTCCATAGCCCTGTCCTGTTTCCTAGCGAAGCAGCCAATATCGCGTCTGCCACGGAGGCAACAACACTTGCTTGCTCGCGATTTGTTTGCAGTTGACTGGCGAGACTCGTTTGCAGCTGGTTCGGCGTCGTACTCGTTTGAAACTGATTCGTTAGACTCGTTTGGAGCTGGTTTCCCGTACTCGCTTGTAGCTGACGCCAGAAGGCGAGAATGTCTTGAACTCCAACGTCTCTGTCTAGAGGAGCGGCTTGCGGCCCTGAAGATGTCGCCGTCACGTGATTGGCTGGTGGGTCGGCGGGACTTTCCTGCGCGACGGAGGGCCATGCGACAGCCGAAGCCTCCTGAAGGCGATGTTGCTGGTTGTGGTAACCACCTTCCTGCTGCTGAAATTGTTGATGGTACACTTGCTGCTGCTGCTGCTGTTGGTAAGCTTGTTGCTGAGGCTGGTTCTCTTGCTGCTGGTAACCCTGTTGCTGCTGTTGATAGCCCTGTCGATGCTGCTGATTTTGGTTGTGCTGTTGCTGATAGATAACTTGTTCCTGCTGTGGCTGCTGCTGCTGCTGCTGCGGCTGCTGCTGCTGCGGTTGTTGCAGTTGTTGCTGTTGTTGCTGTTGTTGCTGATAACCATGCTGGAGCTGCAGTTGCTGAGGATACTGCTGCTGAGGTGGATATTGCTGATGAGGTTGCTGCTGTGGCTGCTGCTGCTGGTACAGTTGCTGATGCAAGTTAGCAAACGGTGGTTCAACGGAGGGCGATCGGCCTATGGAACCCAGAAACGGAAACGTATTCCGTTGAGTCCTATCCTCCATTGCGTCAACTTAAGAAGTTATCAGAGACTATTGGGGAGGTGAAACAATGACAAAGAAAATGCGCGAGCGTCAGAGAGGGGTCCAGCGGGTGGAAGTGAGGAAATAAGCTTTACACGGCATGATGGGCGGGGGTGACTAGATAAGTGGCTGGGAGCGGTTAGGTTTCGAAACATGATCTGGTAACCACGGTAGCCGAAACCCCATTTTACCTGAGGCGATGCTCGTCAGAGCCACTAGTGGTTGCACCTTTTTCCCAAGCTCAAGTCACCCTAGGGGAACACCCGAGCCCAGTTTGTAACCTTGGCGGGGAGCAGGGAGGCGTGCAAACTGGGTTTGGCGGGAATCGACAGGCTGGGGTTTGGTTCGGCATAGTTCTGCCGCCGAGTCGAGTTGTCTCGTGGCGCATCGACGGCTCTCGTGTGTGAATTTTCGCAAAACAAAACACGGAATCGACAGTCGAGCGTTGTTCACGGTAAGTGTCTCGTAAGAACTTGCGCTGACAATTGTGTATTCACTGTCATTCATTCAGAATCAAAATGATACCATAAAGTTCTCTTTCCGCAGCATTTCAAGCACTCTCTACACTGCACCCTGTCTTTTTTATGAACGAAGGCCACCTTGGATCCTCCCTATGGTTGGACTATACAAATCATACAAACAGAAGCTACCGCAGCTGTCCCGGTGAGTGAAGTGTAGTGGGGTGGACTACTGGGGGAAGCTTATCAACAAAGCCAACCCTAGCCATAATGTATATTTACATATCAGCTAGCTTCCCCACAGTGACACACTAGAGAATGATTGACTTCAAGGCCCCTTAAAGCTCGCGGCCCAAATTGCGGGCCGCGCTGGGCAACCTTAGTAAGGTTGATTGATAGTTGTTTTGCAGGTGCTGGTTTTGCGAATTGAGGTTACGGGTTGTACGAAGGAAGTTGATTGGCTAGTCAATTTGAAACACTGAGCTGATTGGCTAGCAAAATTGAAACAGTGTTTGCGGAGGGGGTTGGGTGGGAAACTGGCAAGGATAGTATTTGAGCAATATGGGACTCATGCAACGCGAAGTGGCCCCTGGGGTCTACTGAGTCAGCGAAATGTGTTTGAGATTGGCGAGAAGTTGGGCGAAACCAAAGCCCTCAACCCACCCAACACCTCGACTAGCCAACCCTGCTCCCTCACCTCCCAACATGCAACTTTAGTAAAGTTGTACAATTTGGGCCGCGAGCTTTAACTGAACTCCCTAAACTCCCTAAACTCCCACTTCCCTTAGTGACCTGGCTTCCACTATAAACACCAGCTTACCTTTCCTCTCCAACGCACACCGTCTCCTCCCCTTCTCCCCCACCTTCGCCTTCATCAAGCCACCCCTCGCGACGCCCTGTCTCAGCCTCGGGCATCCCAACCCGAGCCTCCTGCCGAGCCAGCAGCTGGGCCCACCGAGCCTCGAAGGCTCGGTCGAGAGCGAGAGCCTCCTCCCTGTGGCGCCTGAAGGCCTCTGCCTTGGCGCTCTGGTGCTCCTGCTGCAGCCTCTGCACCTCCCGGCTGTACGCCACTGCTTCCTGGCAGCTTCCCTCTAGACGCTTGATTCCAGTCCAAAGACCAGCAGCGTCGTCTCTCTCTGCCTTTGCTCCCCTGGTCGTATCTCCTCCCTCCTCTCCCTCATTCCCCGCTCCTTTTTCACCAGCTGCAGCAGTGGAAGCAGAAGGGCGAGCAGCAGTACCGTCAGCAGCAGTAGTGGCAGAAGCAGTGGCCGAAGCAGCAGCGGCCAAGGCCAGGATCTGCTCTTCGCACGCAGCTCTCCATCTCCTCCGCCACTCCACCTCCCTCCCTGCAAGCACCTGCAGCCGCCCCTCCACCTGCTGCTGCTGCACGTCATATGCCGCCTCCAGGCCGTCCAGCTGGCAGGAAATGGATGGGAGAGATAAGGAAATAGAAGCTGTGGTGAGCGGAGAAATGGAGGGCATTTGCCTTGGCTCGCCCCTGCACCTGCTGTTGCTGCACGTCAAACGAGGCCTCCAGGCTGTCCAGCTGGCAGGAATTGGATGGGCAGGAGAAAGATATAAGTGGACGTGGGAGCTGAAGTGGAGGGCTGTGGCCTTGGCTTGCCCGGCTCCCCACCTGCTGCTGCTGCCGCATGTCAGGCACCTAAGAATCAGCAGAAGAAGTTAAAAATCTCCTAAAACACTGAAGAGTCAGGGAGAGGGAGAGAAGGAGAGCAGAGATGGGGAGAAGGGAGAGCAGGGAAGGCAGTACAAAGTAATCCATGCAACTCTGCTCATTCACACCCACAACATCTCACCGCATCCCACTTTATCCAACCGCACTGTACCTCATTCCAGTGCCTCTGCTCTGCCTCCACTGCCGTCTGCCACAGCGACAGCACCTCCTGCTCACTCGCGCCCACCGCAGATGCCACCTCCACCAGACGCGCCCGCACACCCTGCTCCTTCCCAGTTGACTCAGAAGCTTGCTCACTCGCGCCCACCCCACATGCAGCCTCCACTAGAGACGTTCTCACGCCCTGCTCGTCGTTTTCTGGCGATCTCCCCTCCATCTGAAGCTCACTCTTAGCCTCCTCCGTCTCCTTCCCAGGCTGCTGCTGCTCCTCCGCATGCTTCTGCTCCCTCTCACGCTGCTGCTCCTCTGTGTGTTGCTGTCCTGTAGCGCAATCTTTGCCCACTACAGCTGCTTGGCATCCCCACCCATCCTGCACTGCTACAGCTGCTTGGCATCCCCACCCATCCTGCACTGCTACAGCTGCAGCAGCTGCACACTCTTCATCCGCTACAGCTACTTGGTTCCCCCATCCATCCTGCATTGTTACTTGGGATTTACTCCGCAGCTGCTGGACCGGGGCTGCTTTACCAGCTGCCCACTGCTGCGGAGGGTACTTTGGCCAGGCACCCTCCAGCATCGCCATGTGCCATGCGCCATGTGCCATGCGCCATGCGCCATGCGCCATGCGCCATGCGCCATGCGCCATGCGCCATGCGCCATGCGCCATGCGCCATGCGCCATGCGCCATGCGCCATGCGCCATGCGCCATGTGCCATGCGCCATGCGCCATGCGCCATGCGCCATGCGCCATGTGCCATGCGCCATGCGCCATGTGCCATGCGCCATGCGCCATGTGCCATGCGCCATGCGCCATGCGCCATGCGCCATGCGCCATGCGCCATGCGCCATGCGCCATGTGCCATGCGCCATGCGCCATGCGCCATGCGCCATGCGCCATGTGCCATGCGCCATGCGCCATGTGCCATGCGCCATGTGCCATGCGCCATGCGCCATGTGCCATGCGCCATGCGCCATGTGCCATGCGCCATGCGCCATGCGCCATGCGCCATGCGCCATGCGGCATGCACAAGCTGCCATGTGCAATGTAATGTGCCCATGTGCCATTCGTCACGAGCCATGCGCCATGGATAAAGGACATGGATTTCTATTTCTTTGAAAGGAAGGATATACATTCCCCTCATGCCTCATCTCCCCTTCCCCCATCACCCCTCCTGCCCGCCAGCAAACTATAGCAGAGCCCTCAACCCCCTCACCTCTCCCCCCCCTCAACCTCGCCTTGCTAATCCATCCAAGCATTGCAACAGCTTCGCTTCTCCTCAACCCCTTACCTTCCTTTTCACCCACTTTCTAAAAAAACATTAGCTGCTCCCATTTCCTGATTTCCCTTCTCACCCTTATCTTCCCCACCCCCCTTTTGCCCACCTCCTATCCTCCGCCCGCACCCTCCTGTGCCATGTACGCAAAACAGGCTTCTGACCCACCCTTGAACCCACCCCAAACCCACCCTCGAACCCACCCCAAACCCACCCTCGAACCCACCCCAAACCCACCTTTGGTGTGCCTATTAAACTCTGCGACGTCACCCTCCTGTGCCATGTAAGCAAACAGGTTCCGCTTGCCGCTTTTGTCCACTAGCGACGTTGCCGTCCGGCGGATCCAGCCCTGCCGCCCCCTGCCGTCCGCCTGAAAGAGCTCACACAGCTGCTCTGCCTGCAGCAGCCCATCCACTGACGCTTCAAAGACCAGCACACTCATGCCGCGATGGCCCTGGGAGGAGAGGGGAAAATGGGGAGGGGAAAGGGGGGTTAGAACGGGTGAGCGGAGGCAAGAGCTCACAAAGTGACTTTTGAGTCGGGTGAGAGGAGCTCTTGCCGACTCATAAGTCACCTCGGGTGAGAGGAGGCAAAACCGCTTCGGAATGTCACCTCACAAAGCCGCTTCGCCTGCAGCAGCCCGTCCACTGACGCTTCACAGACCAGCACACTCACTCCACGGTGGCCCTGGGAGGAGAGGGGGAGGGGGGAAAGGACAGGGGTCAAGGGGTTAGGAAGAGTGAGAGGCAAGAGCTGGCAGAGCTGCTCCGCCTGCAGCAGGCAGGCGATCCATCCATCCATCCACTGATGCTACTTTTGAGTCGACTCAAAAGTCACCTCGTTACCATGGCACAGCTCGCAGAGCCGCTCCGCCTGCAGCAGGCAGGCGATCAATCCGTCCACTGATGCTTCGAACACCAACACACTCACGACCCGGTGGCCCCAGAAAGGGCGAAGGGAAGAGGGGTGGAATGGAGAGGGTGTGAGGAAAAGGCTCCTACGGCTGCTCCGCATGCAGCAGCCCATCCAGTGAAGCCTAAAAAAAATAAACACTCACACCACGACGGGAGCAGGGGAAACGGAGAGGTGGAGAGGGAAGAGGTCACAAAGGGCACAGAGGTCACAGAGAAGCCATGTGGTAAAAGATTCGTTTTGAGAGGGCGCAGAGGGCACAGACGCCTCAAAACACGTCTCTTTCTCACAGAGGTCAGAGAGGGTACAGAGGGCACATAGGGCACAGAGGGCACAGAGGGCAAAGAGGGCACAGAGGGCACAGAGGGCACAGGGCACAGAGATAAAAGGTTTGTTTTGAGACGTGTCAGAACGTCGAGAGGTCGCATAGGTCGCAGAGCTACTCCGCCTGCAGCAGCCCCATCCACTGACTGACGCCTCGAACCCCAACACACTGGCCCTAGGAGGAGAGCAGAGGCAGCACCGCACCGCACCGCGCACCACAGCACAGCCCCTTAGCACATAGCACAGCAAACCCCCGTTTGCCCTTTCCCTTACCTGCGGCCCATAGGCGTTCTTGGCCTTGGTGATCAGGTTGCAGTCCGGAAACTGTTGGCGGAGCTCCAAACTGCCCATGCCCACCCACTGGAAGAAGGGGGGAAGGGGGAAGGGGAGGGAGGTAAAGGGGAGAGGCGAGAGGAGGGGAGAGAGACAGCGGATGAACGCCCGAAAACTGCTGGCAGAGCTCGAAACTGCCCATGCCCTTTGAGAATTCTCTAAGTCGCACCAACATGCCACAGAACAGCACTCTTTGCTCCAATCATGCCGCATCCCACCACACCCAAACCACACCCCATTGCATTCGACTCTATTCAATTCTCACCATTCCATCATCATCCTGGCACAGGTGTGTGTGTTCCGCATCACCACCACTGGCCGCCACACCACACTCTGTCTTACACTCCAAAAACTCACCTCGCACCAGACTCCACTGCATTCCACCACGACCCACCTTTCTGTGCCCCACCATGCCATCCTCGTCCGGACACAGATGTGTGTTGTGCACCCACCACCACAGGCAGCCACACCACGCTCTGTCTCATACTACAAACACACTGCATTCCATTCCACCGCATTCCACCACATTCAACCACATCCCATATATGTGTATCTCAACATGTCATCCTCGTCCGGACACAGATGTGTGTTGTGCACCCACCACCACAGGCGGCCACACCATGCTCTGTCGTAGACTCACAGCATCCCACCACATTCCACCGCATCCCACTCTACTTGATCCTCACCATGCCATCCTCGTCCGGGCAAAGGTGTGTGTTGCGCACCACCACCACGGGCGGCCGGCCACACCACGCTCTGTCGTAGACTCACAGCATCCCACCACATTCCACCGCATCCCACTCTACTTGATCCTCACCATGCCATCCTCGTCCGGGCAAAGGTGTGTGTTGCGCACCACCACCACAGGCGGCCACACCACATTTTCGTTGCCCCTCTTCCCCCCCTTGGCCCTTGCGCCGCCCAAACCCCCGCCACTGATTCACCGGGGGACTCCCCAGAAGCACCGATGCTGCTCCCCCTGATAACGCTGTCAGCGGTGCTGATGGTGATGCTGCTGGTGCGACAACTGTTGCTGCCGCACATCTCCTCATCCCTCCTCCCTCCCCACTCCACCCCTCCCCTCCACTCCCCACTCCCCTCCCCCTTTCTCCCCCTCCCCTTCCACCCCCCGCATCCCCTCCAACCGCTCCCCCCCCAAGCATCACCAGCCCCGCGCCCTTGTCCTTCATCCGCTCCCCGAGGGCAGCAGCAAACGCGCGGTGCTCCTTCATCCTCCGACTCCTGATGGTCAGCGAGTGCTGCAGCAGCGCCCGCACGCCGTCCCACCACTCTGTCTCGCCCTTGCCGCCCGCACACACCGGGCACTTGAACTGCCTCTGCCTCTGCTGCTGGTGTTGCCAGCCCTTGCGCTGGTAGCTGCTGCTGTTGCTGCGCCACTCGGAAGGGGAGAGGCTGTCGAAGTCCTGAAGAAAACGGCGAACAGGCTCGGGTAGCTGGAGGGGGGTGGGAGAAAGGAAGGAAGGGGAAGGGGGAGCATGGACAGGTGAAATAGATGATGGTCAGCGAGTGCTGCAGCAGTGCCCGCACGCCGTCCCACCACTCTGTCTCGCCCTTGCGGCCCGCACACACCGGGCACTTGAACTGCCTCTGCCTCTGCTGCTGCTGCCGCTGGTATTGCCAGCCCTTTCGCCGGTAGTTGCTGCTGTTGCCGCGCCACTCGGAGGGTGAAAGGCTGTCGAAATCTTGGGGGAAGTGGCAAACGGGCTTTGGTAGCTGGGAGGAAGAGGGGGAATGGGGGAGGGGGGAGGGAAGAGGGAAGAGAGTTTCGCCAGCATTTTCGCCGTTGGGGTTGCTGCCGTGCCATTCAGACGGTGAGAGGCTGTCAAATTCCTGGAGGAAGTGGAGAACGGGCTCGGGTAGCTGGAGGAGAGGGGAAAGGGGGAGGGGAGAAGGTTTTGCCACCCCTTGCACCGGTAGCTGTTGCTGCCGTGCCACTCGGAAGGGGAGAGGCTGTCAAATTCCCGGAGGACGTGGCGAACGGGCTCGGGTAGCTGGAGGCAGGTGGGAGGGCGAGACGGGAGGGCGGATCATGGAGGGGTGAACGAGGCACTTGAACACAGGGCACTGCTGGTTCTGCCACTGCCAACCTTTGTGCCAGTAGCTGTTATTGTTGCTGCTGTGGCACTCTAGACTACTTAGTATTCTGACAGAGAGGCGGTCAAACTCATGGAGGAACTGGTGCTGGAGGGGCTCAGGCAGATGGAGGGGGCTGGGAGGGGGGATGTTTGAGACGTCTCAAAAGTTCGCTTTTTACATGTAAAAAACCTCAGGCAGCTGGAGGGGGCTGGGAGGGGGAATGGGAGAGGGGAAGCAGGAGCATGGAGGGGAAGAATCTTGAGGTGGAATGAAGCGATGCTGAGCGCGTGCGTGCTGCAGCAGCAGCGGCGCCCGCACGCGTCCCACCACTCCGTCACGCCCTTGCCACCCGCACACACCGGGTGATGCAGCTGCTTCTGCAGCCCTTTGCGCTGGTAGCTGTTACTGTTGCTGTCGAGATCGCGGAGGAAAGGAAGCGACGAACGGGCACTTGCTGCTGGAGGGGGTGGGTGGGTGGGATGTGGGAGGCGAGGGGGGAGCATGCAAGGGGGCCCAAAGTACCTCAACGGACGACCCTCCTCTGAACAGCACAGCAAGCCAAAGTACCTGAATGGAAAGCCCTCCTCGTCCCCCACGGCCAGCCATGCCCGCTATACTCGCCATGCCCACGCCATAGAGCGGCCAGTCATCCGCCAGAGTGCTGCCAAGAAACAAAGACCCCACCTCCTCCTCGCTCTCCTCTCCACATCCGAGTACGCTGTTTACCGAGACGTCCCTCCACAATAAGCCAGCGTACCTGAGTGGACGTCCCTCCGCGGCCCGCCCAGCCCTCCATGCCCATGCCATAGAGCGGCCAGTCGTCTGCCAGAGTGCTGTCAAGAAACAAGGACTCCATCTCCTCCTCACTGTCCACATCTGAGTCAAAGCCCTCGCCGCCATCCGAGAAAGAACACGTGTTGGATGGCAGGTCAAGGTATGCGCCATTGCCTCCTGCCTCCTCTCCTTCTTCCACCCGTTGTTCTTCCCCTGCCTCCCCCTCCTCCCTCTCCTCCCATCCTTCCGCTCTCCCCTCCCCTACCTCCTCCTCTCCCTTCTCCCGTCGTTCCTCTCCTCCCCCCTCCTCTCCTTCCTCTGTGCTATCAAACCCTCCCTTGTTGCCTCCTCCTGTCGTCCCCTCAGCTTTTTCAAACTCGATCCCTGCTCCTTCAGACCCACCACCATCCCTGCCATCTGCACCCTGAGAATCTGCTGCCGCCCGGGAATCTGCCACCGCCCGGGAATCTGCCGCCGCCCGGGAATCTGCTGCTGCTGGAGCAGCTGCAATCCCCTCTGCCCCCCCATCCCGTTCCGCCAAGCTCCCACCTGCCTCTGTCGCAGGCGCAGCAGCAGTTGCTGCAGCAGGACCAGCAGCTTCAGAGTCCTGCTTTTGAGGCACCTCAAAAGTCACTGTTGCACGGGCAGCAGCAGCTGCTGCAGCAGGACCAGCAGCTTCAGATTCCTGCTTTTGAGGCACCTCAAAAGTCACTGTTGCACGGGCAGCAGCAGCTGCTGCAGCAGGACCAGCAGCTTCAGAGTCCTGCTTTTGAGGCACCTCAAAAGTCACTGTTGCACGGGCAGCAGCAGCTGCTGCAGCAGGACCAGCAGCTTCAGAGTCCTGCTTTTGAGGCACCTCAAAAGTCACTGTTGCACGGGCAGCAGCAGTTGCTGCAGCAGGACCAGCAGCTTCAGAGTCCTGCTTTTGAGGCACCTCAAAAGTCACTGTTGCACGGGCAGCAGCAGCTGCTGCAGCAGGACCAGCAGCTTCAGAGTCCTGCTTTTGAGGCACCTCAAAAGTCACTGTTGCACGGGCAGCAGCAGCTGCTGCAGCAGGACCAGCAGCTTCAGAGTCCTCTCGAGCTGCTTCCTCTGCTGCCCGTTCACCAACACCACCAACAGCCAGAGCAGCTGCAGCAGCAGCAGCGGCAGAAGTAGCGTCATGCGTTTCAGCAGCGGCACTGCAATCGTCCAAACCCTCAGCACCATCACCACCTACAGCAGCAGCAGCAGCGGCGGCGGCCTCTCTCACCCACTCCTCTGTGCGCTGTGCCTTGCGTGACGGCTTCACCGCACACACAGACACCTGCTGCTGGGGCAGCTGCTGCTGCGATAGACCCTGGGGGGAGGTGCCGGCATCACCAGACAGGTTCAGCTGGGGCAGGTGCGGGGACCACCTACCTTCCTGCGGGGACCCGAATTGGGGAAGGTAGGGGGGTGGTGTGGCAGGGTGTTGTTGTGGTGATGAGCTTAACCGTGCTTCTGACTCGAACGAGCCCCCTCCTCCCCACGCGTCACCACCACCCTCGCTCCACCCACCACCACCACCACCACCACCACTGCCGGTGCTCCCTTCCTCACTCCCTCTCCAACCGTCACTCCCTCTGTAGCCCTCACTACCCCCTTGGCCTCTCGGGTCGTCCCCCCAGCCTGCCCGTCCCCATCCCCTTCCCCACCTCCCCCTCCCCCACCCCCTCCCCCTCCCCCTTCCCCTCCCCCCCCGCCAATTTCCCCATCCGCCCGCTGCTCCTCTTCCTGCAGGATGTGACGTGGCAGATGGCCATTGGCTGGGGGAGCTATCAACGGGACTGGGAACGGAGGGCGAGAAGGTTGTAGCGGCTGTTGATGTAGCAGCAGCATCAGTAGCAGCAGGAGCAGGAGCAGGAGCAGGAGCAGGAGCAGCTGCTGTAGCAGCGACACTAGCAGCTGCAGGAGCAGGGATAGCAGCATTGGCAGCAGCAGGAGAAGCATCAGCAACAGCAGGAGTAGCAGCCGCAGCAGGGGCAGCATTAGCAGCAGCAGGAGCAGAGCTTATGGGAGGTCCTTTACTCCAGGCGCCCTGTAGTGTTACACTTGCTGCACAGCCCACACTTGCTGCACAACCCACACTCGCTGCACCCACTGCACTCGCTGCACCCACCATCTCCTTTTCCCGTTCCCTCTCCCTCTCAGCCCTCTCCTTCAATTCTTTCTGCCTCTCCCTCTCATCCCTCTCCTGCTGCTCACTCTCTCGCTCCTCCCTTTCCTTCTCCCTCTCCTTCTCTCGCTCCCTTTCCTTACAGTCCCTCTGCATTGGCGGCTCATATACCTGCCACCCCCTCCTGCCTGCCCGCATGGCACAGCCCCCATTGCTGCTGTTGATGGCGCTACTGCTGTCAATGCTGCCGCTGTTGTTGGCGGTGGTCGTCGTCGTGTTGTCACCACCATGACCAGCAGCAGCAGCAGCAGCAGCAGCAGCAGCAGCAGCACCACCACCATGACCACCAGCAGCAGCAGTAGCAGCAGCAGCACTGGAAGCATCAGCAACGGCAACAGATGCAGCAGCAAGCGTGACAGTAGCAGGTGTGATGGTAGCATGAGAAACAATAGCAGGAGTGACGGTGGCAGGTGTTACAGAAGGATGTGTGACAGTGACAGGTGTGACAGTAGCACGTGCAGCAGCAGGTGCAGCAGTATCACCTCCAGCCCCCCCCACAAAGGCACCACCACCTACTGCAGCAGCAGCGACGTTACCAGCAGCAGCGGTGTTACCAGCAGCAGCACCGCCAACACCAGAAGGCGAAGCAGCGGGAGCAGCAGAAGGAGCAGTAGTTGCAGCAGCAGGCCTGGGTGTAGTGGTACCATCATCATCAACATCCCAACCAGCAGCAGCACCCGCAGAAGCAACAGCAGCAGGAGGAGGAGGAGCAGCAGGCCTGGGTGCAGTGGTACCATCATCATCAGCATCCCTCCACCCGACAATATCCCCCCACCCATCATACACCGGATCCTTCCCAGCTGCTTCCTCTGCTGCTGCCGTGGCTGAGAGCACACCAACGTCGTCGTGACAGCTGGCACCAGCTGGACCACTGCCCGGGCCAGGCTCGAAACGGCCCGAACCAGAAGCATCAGGCTCGGCATGAGGCATGGAGGACTCACACTGCTGCTTCTGCCACTGCCACTCCCCTCCACTCTCCCCCTGCCCCTCCCATCCATCCCCATCACACCCTCCCCTCCGCTCCTCACCTCCCCATCCCACCTTCTCTCCCCTTCTCTCAAACTGCCCCCGCCCACCCCTCCTCTGCTGCCCCTCCCCCCAGTCGTTCCACTGTCTCTCACCCTCCCATCTCTGCCCATCCCCATGTGCTTCCCCCTGCTCTTGACTTTGCCTCTGGCCCTCCCAATACTGCTGCTGCTGCCCTTCCATCCATCCCCTTCCCCTTCCCGTATTCCGCACTCCTCCCCAATTCCCCGGTCCCCCTCCCTGCTCTTCCCACCGCCTATAGTATTGCCCCTGCACTTCCCCTGCCTGCACTTCCCCCTCATGTGTTGTCCCCTCTTGCCCCTGCCACCCCTGCTGCTCACCGCTCTCCCTAGTGAATCCTCCTCCCCAATATTCTTCTCCCCCATACCCCCCTCCGCCCCCATACCCACCTCCTCTCGCATACCCCCCTCCGCCCCCAAACCCCCCCCCGCCCCCATACCTCCTTCCGCCTCCATAACCTCTTCCCCTCCCATACCCCCCTCCTCCCCCGTACCCTCCTCCTTCCCAATATTCCCCTACCCCATAACCCCCTCCTCCCCCATACTCCTCGTCTTGCCCCCGTCCCCTCCCCCAACCGTCTCCCCACCTTCCCCGACCTCCTCTCCGCCACCCCTTGCCTCTGCCCCAACCCTTTTCCCATCCCCCTCCCCATCTCCCTCTCCGCCCACTCCCTTCCCCCTCACCCCCGCCCCAGTCGCGGCCATCCCCACTTCCGCCCCAACCAGACCCTTCCCCTCCGCCTACATACCCATTTCCCCCACTCCCCCAGTTCTGTTCCCCTTGCGCGCCCCAGCTGCGCCCTCCCCCGTGCCCCTGCGCCTCCCCCCAAGTCTGCCCCTGCGCCTCCCTCCTAAATTGCCCCTGCGCTTCCCCCGAAGTCCGCCCCTGCTCCTCCGCCCAATACTGCCCCTGCGCCTCCCCACCATACTGCCTCACACCGTAACCCTCAAACTGCCCACTTTCCTGCTCTTCATACACTTCCCCACCCATCTCCACCACTCCGAACCCTGCTCCACCAGACGACTCACCCGCCTGACAACCCCAACCAGCAGCCACCCCAACCATTCCACCCTCACCCTCCCTTCCCATCCCTCTCCCCCCCGTTACAGCACCAAAACTCGTCACAGGGACAAACTCACTCACAGCCAATCCCTGCTCTCCCCCCTGCATCCCCCCCCGCATTCCCCCCTGCATGTCCCCCTGCCCTCCCCTGCGCCATCAACCCCCTCGTCACCCCATCCCGTGGCCGTCAGCGAGCCCCCGCCGTCGCCCCCCTCGTCGCCCGCCTCGTCGCCCCATCCAGTGGCGGCCAGCGAGCCCCCGCCAGAGGCCGCGAGTCGCCTGAGTCGCTCCTGTGCTTCTTGGGCGTCTTTCAAAACATCGCGCTGCTTCTTGTGCTTCTGAACCTTCCGCCCCTTGCCGCCACTGGACTCGCTCCTAGATTTCTTCGAATCGCTGCCGCGAGACCCGCCGTGAGACGCGCCGTGAGACTCGCCGCGAGGGGCGGAAGAGTTAGCGCCCACGCTTGCGAAGCCTCCCGATACCCTCTCGCGGCTCTCCATCTTCTACCAACCTGCGGGAATGGCTCTTCTCCGGAAAATCTACAGGACGCCTTAAAATACCTCCTACTTACTTCACATGCTCCTTTCTCATATTTAGTGCTACGGCTGTCTGCAGCCTACGTGTCCTCCAGAGAAAACCTGGAGTGTCAAACGGTAGAAAGTCCTTAAAGCAACCCCCGAATTACGCTCGAAGGCTAAGGGTACGAAACTCGAGTCGCAGCGCGCATTCGGTCTGACGCATCGTCGTGGTCGGAGCGCTGATGAGAGCGCTGCGCTCGTGACGGAGGCCCGACGTTTAGCAAACCCCGAGGAGCCGCTGTTTCCGTCGCCGTCGCCCCCCGAAGCTTCACCAGACAAGCGTGAATTTTGCCTCTCACCTCGTTTCGCGACCCACTACGAGAATCGAGGTGCATTTGCTATTTCTTCAAGAAAATTGTGCGAAGACGAGTTCACGGCATCAGTCCGCACCGCGAAAAATAAAGACATCGTGCGCGGAGAAGGGACGAGACAGAGGCGCAACGTCCAGCTGACGCCGTGAAGAGCGGAGCAGAACAACGTTATTCCCAAGCAACCCCCCCTGTTGAGGAATTGAAGACGGACGGTAGAGCAGTCGAATGGGGGCAAGCAAATGTGGAATGCAATGCAATGGTGCTGTTCGCCAGCAAATCGTTTCTTCAACAGAAAACGATGGCATCAGCATCGCGACCGCATATGGAAACGGGGGCGGAACCCTCCTCCGAGGTTTGGGCGAAATGCCGCCCGAGAAACTACGCGCGCCCGAAAGGCGAAATTTCTCAACCGCATCGGGAAGGTCCATCCCCACCTTCCCCCCAATGGTGCGAAATTTGCTCATCCCTGACCCTTGTGCTGCCCGCTGACCAAAAAGTGCTCAACGTGGGTTAAAAACGCAAATAAAACACACCCCGCTCAAACACAACCCCCGCCACGGTGTGTTTGGGAGGGAAAAATGGGGGGTATACGAACCCCCCTTTGTTAAACTGCAGGCTTGTTCAAGGGTTACCCTCTGAACAGCAATGCGTCGGCTGTGCCACCGCTGTGCTTTGAAAAACGCGGCATGACGATGGCATGGCTAGGGGATGGCATTTTGCCTGGGGACGAAGTTTCGTCCCCGCTTCCAGAGCCGTCGAACTGTTAGATTTGGTGGAGAAAAGTGGGCGTTCGCCAGACGCCCACTTAGTTTGTTGGTTTGGACGGTAGGTGAGGCTCGGCACTTTTTTCACGGGCTGACCAAGCGTTAACGAACTCTAACTGACGGGATCAGGAAGGCGAGACCCACCTTCCTGATCCCGTCGTTATCCCGTGGTTTTTGGATATAATTGTGCTGGCGAACAGCACCAATGTATGCACGTGTGTCTTGGGATGCTGCAGTCAGTGCATGGCGCTGGGTGCTTACTGTCGGGCGTGTTCGTTTGATCTCCGAAAACCGAACTTAGGGTTGCTGGACCCTGGTTTGGATGTGTGCGTCAAAAGAAGCGCCGAACCGGAATCGACATAATCTCGACTCGAGAGCCGCATGAACTCGTGTGAGGATGAGAAAGCGAGGCTGTGTCTCCTTCCTGAGATACGTACCGTTTTACAAACGAGGATGGCAGGGGACATAGCTCTCCTCTGAATCAGTATCCGTTTGAGGAACACTTCAAGTAATTAACAGCTAGATTCGGAACAAGTCTTCCATGTCCTCTGCTTCCAGTGGATCCAAAACTCAACATGAGTACAGGAAAAAAATATCCACCAACCAAAGCTACCCTCCCCATCACAGGAGCACCAGCGCCATTATACTAGCAAGGGACATCACCCACTTGCCAATTTCCCAGTGACTAGCTCATTCGCTACGCCTTACGCAGCTGGCCACGCACAGCACCATCAGGATAACGCTTGGTGTGAACATTCCCATAGTAGCTGGAAGGGCGCTTCGCAATCTTGCTCAGCGCCGCCTTAAATTCCTCCGTGCGCTCGCTCTCTTTCTTGCCCAAGCTGCCCTCGCAGAGCCAATATTCATCCCCTTTTTTCGCGTACACACACGGCAGGTCCAAAAGCACGTCGCCGTTCTTCCCCTTCTTCCCCGCGTGCACATGCGTCTTGGTGGGCGGCATCTCTCCCTTGAGGCGACGCACGCTCACCTGGAACTTGGCCCATGCTGGAGAGCTGTCACCATCACCATTATCATCATCCCAGCAGTGAATTGACAAAATACATAACCATAATAAAAAAGAAACACACAAAGAATGAGGATCAGGTAAGGCTCATTTCAAAGCAGAAGATTTGCGCTTGGATACAGCTGGAACATAACGCAAAGTTCATGCAGACAAAACAGAACATACAGCACTTGTTGACTGCTTGTCCAGACACCTCGAGTTTTGAGTCGTCCCAAAACGTCTCAAAACTTTTGAGACGTCTGAGACGTCTCGAGACTTAGCGAGTGAAAGAGAAAGTACCTGTAAACTGTGAGGCGCAGGTATCCCACGCCTCGCAGGTCGCCCACAGAGGCCTTCGCTGCCTTGGAGTTGTTCTTGGGAACCTCGTTCACTCCCAGGAGCGTTGCCGCGAAATTGCCTGCAGAAAGAAAAACAGAAATACCATGCAGCAGCGCAGCATGCAGTAGGAGCAATCAAGATGTTAGTAGCTAAGAGAGCAGAAAACAATGGCTGCAGGAATTGCACCAGGGGTAGGAACGAAGATAGTAGCGGGGGTGACGGGAAAAATATGGGGGTAGCAGTGGAGGTAGCTGCAGAGGGGCGGAAGTAGGAGCGGAGATAGCAGCAGGGATGAACAGGAGAGACAGCCACAGGAGTAGCAGAAGTGACTCACAGGCGGCGTTGTCATCTCCCAGGGCAGTTGCCAGCAGTGCCGCAGCACAGACTGCAGCAATTTCAGACAATCCGACCCACCAATCAGGATCCAAGGTCAGTTATAAAAAGTCTTGATCAGAGTGTGGTTTGCAGAAGAACACTTCAAGAAAAGCAACACAGCAATTTGAAGCAGAAACACACTAGCGACTACGTACCGATCAGAAGCAGGACGCGAGAATCAAAGAATGCCATTCTGCTCACAGCGTCTCGGTACTCTGGAATACACCCCTCAGCCTCCTCGAGCTCTCAAAGGACTGGGAGTCGTGAGGCAGGACTAGTAGGCAGCCGCTGGCGTGAACAAAATGCACGAAAAACGCAGCTATAGAAGCAACGAGTAGCAGTGGAGTGAAGCAGGAACGAAATCGTGACTCTGCTGCTTGTGAATCATGGGCGATACTATTTACGGTTTTAAACTAGGCAGGCGGGACCTCAGGCGCCGCATCTGTGGGGACAGGGGCTCTCAGCCACGAAGACCCAAGGGCGGGCCGCCACTGGCGCGAAACTTCGCACACGCGACGCTCGCGTCGCACAGTCGCAAACGGCGCAGGCAGGACTTTTGGAAGCTCAAGGGAAGCTCCTTTGATTCTTTTTTGCAGGAAGGTCAAGAATCAGGAGGTTTCATGGGGGTTGGGAATCCCGAGTCGCTGCGTGTCGGCGCGGCTGCAACGGATCGCGGCATTCGTCGCATTCGTCAGGTTCCAGGTTCAAATCTCCTGATTAATCGCCAGATATTTTCCATTACTCGTGAACCTGGGAGAACCACTTGAATGATCAGACCAGGTTCTACGGCGTCGAAGCAATGTACACGGCGAGTTTTGTCAGCCAGGCGATGGAAGCGCTGAAGCGGTTCCGGCGGCGAGCAAGCAAAGCGCAGGGTGCAGCTCATCATTGTACAGTTTCGAAAGGGAGCGCATCGCAGAGTCTGATTTGTGGGGCCGCGATGATGATGGCCTGGAAACGCGTGCTGAAGCGGAACATCAGGCGAGGTGTAGTGGCTGCGATGTCGGCACCGTCCGTGCATCACGGGTGGGAGGAGATGAAGGGAAAAAGGAGGGGGAGGAGAGGACCGCCTCGACATCCTCGATGCCAGCCACGTGGCATCTTGTTGAAGATACTGCAGGGGCGGGAATGCCTAGCTTTTTCGATGTTCTTGAGCTCCCTCGGTAATGCCGGCGCTGCTGGCGTGGGGGCGGGGGGTGTCGCTACAAGAATCTCTGGCCAGCGGAGGTTTCGATGTGTACAGTACATGAAAATGTGAATTGACACATGTCACGAGGTCGAGCGAAAATACACTCAAACACTGGTTGATGGCTAGTCACTCCATAACGAAACGGGAGTGTAGTGGGGTGATTGCGTTGAGAAGCGGTTGAAGAAGCATTTGAGACGGCTGAACAGGGTTGGAAGAAAATTCGGTTCAACATTTTCACATGGGTTTGATGAGCTCGCGTCACTTCCTGAACATTGGCAGGTTCGGGGAATCGGGTGATCTCACTGAACCTGCCTGGCTTTATGGGCGTGGAACATCCTGGGAAAATAGCAATAGTCTGGACCGTCACCGCTCTGCAACGCACTGGATATTAAAAGAAACATAGCAGGACTAATCTCGGCGTGCTAACTTCCATACCTTCAATATCAGCATGGTCCAATGCTTCGCCTACTAGCGCCTTCACATCCAGGCCTGACCCTAGTTACTGGTTAGAATAAACTCATTTTGTAGCTCAGTCTCTTATCATTCACTTCAATGCCACAAACAATACATGAAGAAAGAAACTGTACCCAACCACCCTACTTAATTAGGCACAAGAAAACGATACATCCAATCCAGCATTCCATCAGAGCTTTGGAGTGCGTGATCCTTATTTTCGGTTCAACCCTCACCCCACCCGCCACCACAATTGAACATGCAACGGCAAACTGAGTGCCCTACGACGCCTTGCGCAGCTGGCCACGAACAGCACCGTCAGGGTAGCGCTTGGTGTGAATGTTTCCGTAGTAGTCAGCAGGGCTCTTCTCAATCTTGGTCAGAGCTGCCTCGAGGGCCTCCGTGCGGTCGCTCTTATTCTTGCCCAGGTTTCCCTCGCACTTCCAGAGTTCCTTGCCCTTGTTCGCGTACTCGCACGGCAGGTCCAGCAGGACTTCGCCGTTCTTCCCCTTCTTTCCCACGTGCACGTGCGTCTTGGTGGGCGGCATCTCTCCCTTGAGGCGACGCACAGTCACCTGGAACTTCATCCACTTAGGCTCGTACTCGTGATCCCTGCGTAAGTAAAAGGAAAGGAGATTTCGGTGTTGCGTGATTGAGCAGCCAATTTATTGACAAAATGTGACGTTCCAGTGCAAGGATTGCTGTTACTGATGCGTGAAGTCTGTCAGACGGCGAGAAAAATAACAAGAGCGAACATACTTGTATATCGCGAGACGCATGTAACCCACGCCGCGCATGTCTCCGACGGCGTTCTTCGCAGCCTGGGTGTCGTTCTTGGGAATCTCGTTAGCCCCCACAAGAACCGAGGCGAGGGTGCCTGCGGAAGGGCAAACACTTTATTAGCTCACACGAACCTTGGTAATGAACCTGAAATGGGTGTTTCTTTTGACGGTAACAGGGAAAACGGAAGCGTGGCAGGAGCAGAGGATCCCAGCAGCATGGCGAGCAGGAGCAGCAGAAAGGGTAGAAAGAACGTTACAGAGTAGAAGCGAAGGATGGCAAGAGGGTCTCACAGATTGCTGTGTCGTGTGCCAGGGCGGTTGCCGCAAGAGCCGCCGCGCACACTGCGATCATGCGACAAAGAGGGATTCGAACAATCCAGCGTCAGACCGTCGCACAAAAGGTCTCTTGAACAGACAGTATGATTATAATCAGAGCAACGATAGTAGTGGGGGGTATTGCACACGAAGCTTTTCTACATTGAATTTGCCGAAACGCACCGAGCAGAAGGAGAACCCGTGAGCCCATAGCTGCGAGATGGTCCGTCGAGAGCGTTAGGGAACCACGGAAAGAAAAGAGTCGAGCTCAAACGAGTGGTATGAGGCACGGTTGCTGATATGTGCGCCGAGATTCGACTCTGAATGCTATACGATTGTAACATGCGGGTATTTAAGTAATAGTAGTGCTCTTCGAGGAACCAATTAGGACCATCTGGTGGGGATAAGACGAGCAGCCGTCTCAGAGCTCGAAAGCACCTCGAGTCGCTCTTGAGGCTGAGGCGCGATGACGAGGCGCAAGGCGACGTAGTTGCGTCTGATTTCCCCATCGTCACGACTCGCCAGGTGGCAATTCTCAGGATTCTTTCAGCCCGTACCCAGCCCGGCAGGTGTGGGAAACACTTGCCCTACGAACTTCACAAGTCCATTGCTGTGATGTGATGTGACTTGTGTTTCCGGCTCGGACCACACCCCTGGGAACGAGCACTTCGTTGCAAGCCAAGGCATCATTTGCAGGAAGCCTCGTGTTTCAAGCGTATGACACGTCAGCGCTACGCTTCGGGATTACAGGAATCTTCCAGACCAGGTGACACGTCAGATCAGCACAGAAGCAGGCTCCTTTCGGCCCGGGCCAGTCAAGAAAGTTCGGGCAGCCGCTGGGCCGACGGGCAGCTGGCAGGAGTTTGGAATCAGGCCTGGATGGACCTTCCAAACTAGCTACACCCCTAATCGCAGGTAATACAGCAGATCGCCTAGCAGCCGCTCACTCACTCGTGCCAGGTAAGAGGCTAGTTGGAGAGACGCATTATGGTTGCGTTCTGGAGACGGAAAGCTACGTCGGCTGCATCTCCACCGTCCGTCTGGCATTCAGGAACAATGTATTCCATTTCAGGTGACTGCACCGAGGGTTGGCGAAGGACAGCAGTACTATAACTTCACCTATAACGACAGGAAGATTGTACACCTGAAGGAACTACCTACACAAGAATATGGTAATACCGGTAAGAACCACAACACAACAAGCCAAGCCACAACAAGCCACAACACAGCCACCAGTGTCACCAAGCCACAGTACACGAATCAACATAGGTAGGCACTACTGCTCAATAAATCCATGAAACAAAACAGTACGATATGATATGTTACGAAAAGGGCGATGGGTGTTGCCATGACATGCAGTGACTCGATACGAACGACCCACCATCGGTTCGGAAATCCCGTTACGGTAGTGTGCCGAGCGTCGTAGACCCGTCTCCTTGGCACTTGTCCCCAGGGCCTCAGTGAAGCATATTACGGTACCAGTACGTGAAGCAAGAATCCATTTTCACTGATGCTCTCTGATGCTCTGAAACGCCTGAAAGTTCAGACTTCAGCCTGACTGGATCACTTCTCCAAACCTAGGCCTGACTGGGCCACGCCTCGAGCCAAGCCACGGCCCAAGCCAAGCCACGCCCCAAGCCAAGCCACGCCCCAAGCCAAGCCACGCCCCAAGCCAAGCCACGCCCCAAGCCAAGCCACGTCCCAAGCCAAGCCACGTCCCAAGCCTAGCCCCGTCCCAGGCCAAGCCACATCCCAAGCCAAGCCACATCCCAAGCCAAGCCACATCCCAAGCCAAGCCATATCCCAAGCCAAGCCACATCCCAAGCCAAGCCACGTCCCAAGCCAAGCCACGTCCCAAGCCAAGCCACGTCCCACACCAAACCACGTCCCAAGCCTAGCCACGTCCCAAGCCAAGCCATATTCCAAGCCAAGCCACATCCCAAGCCAAGCCACATCCCAAGCCAAGCCCAAGCCCGAGTGCACAAAGATTGGGCAGAGAACACCAGTCGACTGATTGGCTTTACTAGCCGAAACAGCATGCCATGCCATGCCACATTCTGCCATGCCATGACATTTCATGCATTGCCATGCGATGTGACGCCTTGCCACACCATGCCATGCATTGTTGTGCATTGTCATGCCATACCATGCCATGCCATGCCATGCCATGCCATGCCATGCCATGCCATGCCGTGCCGAGCTATGCCGTGCCGTACCATGCCGTGCCGTGCCATGCCACGCTGTGCTACGTCATACTATGCTGTGCCATGTCATACCATGCTCTGCCATGTCATATCATGCTGTGCAATGTCATACCATGCTGTGCCATGTCATACCATGCTGTGCAATGTCATACCATGCTGTGCCATGTCATACCATGCTGTGCAATGTCATACCATGCTGTGCCATGTCATACCATGCTGTGCCATGCAATGTCAAGCCATCCCATGCAATGCCATGTTGCTGCTTGTAGCCTTGATCTCATGAGAATGCAGTGTATCCCATGACATTCAGCAAGAACGGCATCAAGCATCAGCAAGAATGCTGTGCGGCTGTGCCCATAGCAGCATAACCTTACAGTCTGCTAACACCATCCGGCCCCATGCTGCTGCTGCCTTGCTACTCTTCACATCCCACCCACGGCTCCATGCCCCCTTGCCGCCACCTCTCAACCCTCCCTCCTCACAACCTTCTTATCACTAGCATGCTGCTATACCCCCACACCAGTACCAACACAACACCTAGAAAAACTCCCCCAGCGTTCCCCCAGCCCTATACCAAGCCTCACCCGAGGCTCTCCAAGGCTCCCCGAGCATTCCTAAGCTCCCCCGAAGCTACCCGTGGCTCCCCGAGCCTCCCGAGCCTCTCCAAGGGGCTGAAAGACTGTCGGCACAACTCCAGGCACGCCCGAAAGCTCTCAATCTGACAGCTCAAGCCCTCAAGCCGACACGCAACACGGGGACTGAAAACTCCTCTCCTCGGTGCCAGCTGTTTCGCCAATCAGCGCCAACTTCGCCATGCTTCGAAAGCCAGCTCGCTCAGGCTACAACCAAACCATCCCCCCCCCCTCCTCTCCCCTCCCCCCCCCCCCGCCGAGTCGAAATCGAGTTACCCTGAGCTGCGTGGAGTCAAGTAGAAGAGTCAAAATGGGTCGAGCCGAGTAAAAACGCGTGAAAGTAAGGGAGCAGCTCTAGCAGGGGAAAGGCTTTACCGAAAGGACGGCAGAGCGGCCGTGCCCCGGCCACAGAAAGACGTGCACGGAGCAGCCGCCCCCAAAGCCACTCGCAGAGGCGTAACGGCAAGATGCGAAAGTGGGTGGATAGACAAAGAGCGCTTTACCCTGCACCTTGCCCTGCATGGGACTGCCTGCACTCAGCAAGGCAGCGGCAGAGTAGATGACTGGTGTGGACCCTGATGCAGCCTTCGCAGCTGATGCAGGCAGTGCAGTGGCAGTGAGGGGGCGTGCAGTGCATGCCTCCATGCAGTGAGGCAGCACCGTGCCACCCAGGATGGCTGCGGCTGCCTTTGGTGGGGGGCGTGCATCCGTGCATGGGAGAGACGCCACGCCACACAGCAGAGAGGGGCGGGCAGAAAAGCTGATGATGACCGTACCTCTGAAAGGCATGGGCAAGGGTGTGGGAGGAAGAGGGGTCTGATCTCTCACATTCCCGTTTCAACGGACTCCAAAATCGCCTGGGAGGCCAAGTGTCTTGTCTCTCCCCCGTTCCCTTTTTGACTGCCCGTTCCCCTTTTCAATGCACTCCGACATTCCCTGAAGGGTGGTCATCCAGTCTCCCGCATTCCCGCGAACCTCCTGAGCACGTGCCATGCCGAGGCACACACCAGCTGCTGGCAGCGTGTGGAGGGAGGCATGCAGTGCCGTACAGTGCGGCCCAGTGCGGTGCGGTGTGGCTCTAGCCTCACGCAACGCGCATGATCGTGCCACTTGCTGTCAGCCAGGAGTTGAACAGCCACGATACCCGTCCTCCTCCTGCTGCAGGGTGTTTTTGAGAATTCTGAGGCGACTCAAGAGCGACAGCCATGCAACAGCCACGATACCCGTCCTCCTCCTTTGCCATAAATTTTGAGGTGACTCAAGAGCGACCATGATTACCCACCCGCCCGCCCTCCTCCTTTGCCAGCACTCAGCATGAAGATTTGATCATTCGACCCACCCTCGCGGCTCTGAAAATTCTCAACAAGCCACTGGAAGGGTCATGCCTTCACCCATAGGAGCCAGAGGCTCGAGACCCGTGATAACTCGTCCTACCCCCCCCACGGCCCCCCTTCCTCCCTCCTCCCCCCCCTCCCCCTCCTCCCCCTCTTTCGCCCCCGCCCCTACCCCCCCCTCGCCACCCACTGCGCCCCCCTGCCGCTCTCCCCACACCCATGTTGTTCCCACCCCCCCTTCCTGCTCCCCCTGCCCCTCCTGCTCCTCCCGCCAATGATATTGCCGCAGCTGCCGCCGCAGCTGCTGCTGCAGCTGCAGCGGCCGCCGCTGAAACAGCCGATGCAGATTCCATCCCCGAGACTCGTGTTTCTCCTGCTGACAATGCTGCTCCCACATTTCGTTCTCCTCTTATCCTCCTTGAAGTTTCCTCCTCCACTCTTACTCTCCCCTCACTCCCTTTCCCACCTCCACCTCCCCAACTGCTCACCCGGCCAGTTTTACTGCTCTCCACCCTCCCCTCGCCCTCCTCGCTGTCCCCCCAGACACCAAGCGCGGCACAGGGAGGTGATGGGAGGAACAGAGCTGACCCTCCCAGCAGCTTTGCTCCTGCTGCTGCTACTGCTGCTTCTGCTGCAGCAGCTATTCCTGATGCTGCTGCTGCTCCTGTTCCTGCTGCTCCTGCTGCTGCTGGCGTTGGCGTTGGTACCACTGGTACGGAGTCAGAAAAGCCAGACGCGAGAGGAGAGGAGCGGTGGAGGAGAGAAGGGAGGAGGAGGTGCGAGGGCAGGCGGAGAGAGAGAGATGAGTTTGGGGGGAGTAGGATGGGCGCTGGCGGGGCAAGCGTGCGGGCTTGGGTGGAGCGATGCTGGGAGGATTGCTGGTTCTGGGTTGAACTGTTGCTGCTGCTGCTGTTGCTGCTGGTGGCAGTAGTGCTGGTGGTGGTAGTGCTGGTGGTAGTAGGAGTGGAGGGAGGGAGGATGAGAGCGGGGCAGGATGCGAAGAGGAGCGCATGGTTGGGAGTCACCTGCATGTGTGATGAGCGGGAAGGGGGGGTCGACATGGAGTCATGAAATCCTGAGTCGCGTATTTGTAACAAGTCTGGTGGAGACGATAACGAGTTTTGAGTCGGCACAAAGGGGCCTGGTGATAATAAACTCGTTGTCGTCACTCATGGTTAGGAAGGGCAGCAGTGCTAGGAAGGGCAGCAGTGCTAGGAAAAAGCTTTAGCTAGGCCTGGAGATAATAAACTCGTTACTGAGATGCCTCAAAACAGAAGGGACCTGGAAGCAATGAGGAGAACATTGTTGTGAGTCACATGCGTGCGTGATGAGGGGACAGAAAGCGACTATCCAGTCAACTCAAGAGTGACATGGGCGGAGCACTTGGCATCACAAGGCATAGACGCACCGACAAAAATAGAGAGCTGAATCAAATAAGTTCGAATCGAATCAAACTGACCACATAGATGCGCTGCAGAGTAGCAGCAGTTGCTGGGAAGAACCGCTTCCTGTGGCCCCACTTGCCCCCACTTGACCCTCTCTCCTTGCTGCCCTCTCCCCTCGCTGCTCCTTTCCCTCCCACATCTCCAATTGTCTTCCCATCTTGCCTCTCACTCCCCTCTCCCGTCCCGCCACTGCTGCTCGCATCACCATCACCAGCAGTCGAGGCCTTTGCTTCTCCCAATCCTACTTCCTCTTCTCTCTCCTCCTGTTTAACAATCGCTCTTCCCACCCGTTTCGTATTCGATTCCCTTCCCCCCTCCTCTCCCTCCTCCTCCTCCCCTTCCCCCTCCTCCCCTCCCTCCTCCTCCTCCTCCTCCTCCTCCTCCTCCTCCTCCTCCTCCTCCTCCTCCTCCTCCTCCTCCTCCTCCTCCTCCCCACTCCCCTCCCCTTCCCCCTCCACTCTCTCATCCCTCCCCAACATCACCTCCTCCCCCTTCACAGTAACACTCCGCACACCACGCTCTCTCACCGCCTCACACGCAGGGCACCCCACCACCAGAGACTGGTCCCTCCCAACCCACTCCCCAACCCAGTCCTTCTCACCTCCAATCAATCCCTCTGCCCCGCTGCTTCGGGCGGATAGGGGCGGGGCAGCAAAGAAGCGGTGGCCGGCAGAGCAAGCGTATTCGAGGCCTAGAAAGACACACACTGACACCACCCTCACACCACTGCTGCTGCTACTGCCATTGCTACCGCTGGTGCCACTGGTGCTAGTACTGCTGGCAGTGCTGCTGCTTGTGGCCCTGCTGCTGCCACTGCTGCTGCCGCTGCTGCCGCTGCAGCTGGGAGGAGGGTGGGGCAGCAGGGAGCGGCGGGTGAGAAGCTTCTTTTCCGCGTCTCCTCCCCGTGCCTGAATGCTGGCTTGAGGGGGCGTGGGCAGGAGTGGCGGCTGCTGCTGCGGGTTCTTCACCTGCTGCTGCTTCAGTTGTTGCTGCTGCTGCTTCTGCTGCTGCTGCTGCAAAGCAGGCGTCACTAGCCCTGCTCCAACTCCTGCCCCTCTTCCACCAGGTGCCCCAGGCCCTAAAATGCCCTTCTCATACCCACCCTTGTCAGCCCCATGCGCTGCAGTGGCTGCGCCATGCCCTGCTGTCACCCCATGAGGTGCTGCTGCGCCATGCACAGAGGCAGAGAGGGGAGGGAATGCCATCTCGGCAGTGTTCACTGCTGCTGCTTGCCTACCTGCTCCCCCTGCAATGGCGGCAACACGGGCAAAAGAGGTGGGAGGCTGCACCTCACGAGCACGTAACGCTGCCGCTGCCCCTGTCCCTACCGCAGCTGCTGCTTTTGCCCCTGCTCCTGCCCCTGCTCCTGCACCTGCCCCTGCCCCTGCCCCTGCCCCTGCCCCCACCTCCTTCTTCCCCCCATCCTCTGCCCGTGCATCCACCTCCCCCTCTGTTTCCTGCTGCACGCCCTGCCCTCCCTGCCCCTGCTGCCACTCCCTTTCTGCAACCACCACCTTAGCCCCCTCTTCTAGTGCAGCAATAACGCCAGCATCCCCTACACTGTATCGAGCCATGCAATAGCGAGTCTCGGCCACCGCCCCACGCCCACCTCCCAACCCCTTCGACGCAGCAGCTTCCATAACCCCTGGCACTTTACATCCCTCCCCTTCACCCCCTCTTTCTCCTGCCTCTCCTCCCTCTCCTCCCTCCCCTCCTTCTCCTCTGCTGTTCTCTGATTCAACTCTCTGCACCCTGCCCAACTCCTTCACTCCCTCCATCTCCTCTCCTCCTCCTCGTTTCCTCACAGCCCAGATCTCACCTGTCACTCTCTCCCTCCCAACCCCCCCCCCTCACCTCCCCCTCTTTCCCTCCACCTCCCTCTCCTCCATCTCCCAATCCTCCACCTCCCCTCGTCCCTCCCTCCACACCCACCAACCCGCTTTCCTTTCCTGCCCCACTGCTGCTGCCCGCACCCCAGCCTCCCTCATCCGCCACATAGATCGCCGGCAGCTGAACTGCCCAGGGCAGAAGAAAGTTTCGCCCGGGCAGAAATCCCTCCTGCTGGACCCCCTTAATTGGATCGTACCAATTCCTACTGCCCAGAACAGTAACACCCCACTCAAATTCCAACCCCTCACCCCCCTTCCGCTCTCTCCTCTGCACGTCCTCTCTCCATTGAGATTCCGTCTCGCCAGCTTTAGAGCTTTGCCTGTTCGCCTTTGCTTCTCCCCAGCTCGTCTGGTCAAGAGGAATGGACCAGAGCAGGTCGCAGCAGGGGAGAGATGGGCGGAGGAGGGAGGAGAGCGAGAAGGAGGAGAGGGGCGTAGGGAGGAAGGGGTCACAGAGAAGAGCTTGGGTGCTGCCACAGACACACGCACACAGCGGCACTGCCCCGCTCTCATGCCTGCTCGCCCCACTCCCACACCTGCTCGCTCTGCCCTCGAAGAAAGCTGCACCACTGTGTTCCCGTTGCCCTGCTTGCCCTGCTTGCCCTGCTTCCCCTGCTTGCCCTGCTTCCCCTGCTTGCCCTGCTTCCCCTGCTTGCCCTGCTTCCCCTGCTTGCCCTGCTTCCCCTGCTTCCCCTGCTTCCCCTGCTTCCCCTGCTTCCCCTGCTTCCCCTGCTTCCCCTGCCTTCCTTGCACTCCCATGCACCCCCTCCCTCGCTGCCACCCCCCACCTCTCATGCCCTAACGGTAACCAGCATGATAATCCCAAGGCAGACACCGCCTCACACTGCTGCCTCCCTCCTCCCACTCGGCCCACTCCTCCCACTCCGCCCACTCCCTTCCCCACCCAGTGCTCATAACATTGCCGCTTCAGCAGCTCGAAGCACTCCCCCCGGGCAGGTCCTCGGGCGGCCTCCGCGAAAACTTTCACGGCTGCCCAGAAGTGTGTTTGGTGCACACGGGCAGTGTAGAGCTGCCCGAGGCCCCTGCGGTACGTGTGGAGGGCGCGGGTGAGGGCAGTGCGGCAGAGCAAGGAGGAGAAGCGCGCTGCACGGGAGCTGGATGAATCTGATTGGTCGCTGTGCATGTGCGTGTGCGTGAGGGGTGGTTGGGATGGCGTGAGCACTGCTGCTGCTGTTGATGATTGTAGTGATGGTGTTGCCGATACACCCACCCTTCCTTGTCCTCCTCCTCCTCCTCCTCCTCCTCTCCCTCCTCCTCTTCCTCCTCCTCTCCCTCCTTCTCTCCCTCCTCCTCTTCCTCCCCCTCTTCCTCTTCCTTGCACGTCCCTCTTCCTACTGCTACCAGCACCTCTGCCAGAATAACCAAACGCGGTCAGCACCGCACCAAACTCCTTTGCATCCCCTTGGAACCCTCCGTCCACCCTCTGACCAGAACCCTGATCCCTTTCCCCTCTCCACTCACACACCACACGAGCCACCCTCTCACACCCAGCCTGCCACGTGTCAAAATCTGGTAGCTCCCACGGTAGCCCCCCTCCCCCCACTCCGCCTGCAGATCCCCCTACGGCCCCCCCCATGCGCCCTCTTGCTCCCCCGCCTCCTCTTGTCAGCCCCAGCGCCCCCGCCCACCCTCCCCTCCCCCTCATGCCCCCTCTCCCCCCCCCTGCCCCTGCCCCTACAGCTGCTGCTGCCCCTGCCACTGGCCCTGCTTCCACATCCGCCCCTTCATTTCCTCCTTCTCCTGCTCCTTCTCCTTCTCCTCCTCCTCCTGCTGCTGCACCCGAACCAGCTGGCACAGCTGCGGCTGGAGCAAGGGACAATAAGGCGGTACCGCTGCCGTCCCTGCCGCCACTTCCCCCTCTGCCCCCAACACTGGCAGAACCAACGCCTCTCCCTGGGAGGGGCTGAGCGGCCTTCCATCGAGCCTCCATCACCTCCCTCTGCCCCACAATAAAGTCCCAGATCGACCCCGCTGCTGACTCTGCTAGCTCTGATGAGGAGGAAAGTGGTGCTGCTGAGAGGGCTGATGTGAGGGTGGAGGGTACGTGGGATTGCGGTGCGGTGGAGAGCGGTGCTGGCGGGTTGAGAAGCACGGGGGAGAAGGGCGCGAGGGATGAGAAGGACGGGGAGAGGAGGGAGAAGGAGAGAGGAAGGCCTTGCTGCTGCAATGCCACGCTCGCGTTCAATCCCTTGCCGCCCAGTTCTTGTCCCATGCCGCCCAGACTGCCGCCCAAACCGCCGCCCGGATTGTCGCCCAGTTGTGCAGCCATGAGGGCGTCAGTAGCAGTGGAGAGGCCGCGTTGGTTGGAGAGAGCAGAGTGGTGAATGACGAGAGCACAGCGAGAGGGGTCCAGCACGAACAGAGGGGACGCTGCTGCTGCCACCGCTGCTGCCAGTGTTGCATCTTCTGCTAATGATGGTGGTGCTGCTGCTGCTGCTGCTGCTGCTGCTGGTGGCGCTGCTGCTGCTCCTTCCGCATCTTTCATCTGGCTCAGTGCTCCACTCTTCATCATGGCCGTCCATTGCCTCAGCCAACGGGGGCCTGCCACGTGTACGTCCACAGCAGAGGCCACCGGGCGGCAGCGCTTGAGCAGTGATCTGATCTGCGACTCCAGGGCGGATTGCATGCGGCGACGGATGACCAATGGCGACATGACAGGTGGACTCGCGTCACTGGCCGCACTGGTACCAACAGTAGAAGCACCAGCAGCACCAACAGCACCGGAAGCACCAGCAGGCCCGGCCAAAGCAGCAGCAGCACCAGTGGCTGATCCTCCTCCTCCTGCTGCTGCTACAGCAGCCGCCTCCCTGCCCCCAGCCCCACCATCCTTGCCTCCTCCCTCGCCCTTCCCCCCTCCTCCTGCGGTGTGAGTCACGGCGAGAGCAGCCTGAGCGGAGGCGAAGGGGACGGGGAAGGCGAAGAGCAGGCAGGGCGTGGCGAACCCGGGCAGCAGCTGCAGCCTGCACGCCTCCTCCTGGCCCTGGGGGTGATGCTCACCGTTCACGCTGCTGCTGCTGTTGCTGTTGCTACTGCTGCCAGTGGTGGTAGTGGTGGTGGTAGGGGTGCTGCTGCTTGTGGTGGGAGCAGCATGAGGGGAAGGTTGGCGCAGGAGCATGTCTGGGGGAAGGGCTGGCAGCAGCAGCGCTGCATCCAGCACAGGCTGGGGCAGCTCTTGCAGCAGCTGATTCTCCTCGCAGTGCTCTGGCGTCGTCGGATGCTTTGGCAGTGTCTCCCTCGGTGGGTGGGGCAGCAGCAGGCGCGGCAGCAGGGCGAGCTTGGCGCGCTGCAGGGAGCGGAAGGAGCGCAGCAGGTGCGGGTGGAAGAGGGGCGAGGGGCTGACACATACCACCACGTGGCACGCTGTAAATAACAGCAACCACGCCTTCTGCACCGCTGCCTCCATGCCACCCTCCTCCTCCTCTTCCTCTTCTTCTTCTTCCTCCTCCTCCTCCTCCTCCTCCTCCTCCTCCTCCTCCTCCTCCTCCTCCTCCTCCTCCTCCTCCTCCTCCTCCTTCTTCCCCTCTTCCTCCTCCTCCCCTTCTTCCTCCTCTTCATCTTCCTCCTCTTCCTCCTCTTCCTCCTCCTCCTCCTCCTCCTCCTCCTCCTCCTCCTCCTCCTCCTCCTCCTCCTCCTCCTCCTCCTCCTCCTCCTCCTCCTCCTCCCCCCCTGTCCCATTCTCTCCGCCTACCTTTTTAAAACGCTCCTCCCATTCTTCCCTTTTCTCAGTTTCTTTCTCTCCCACCTCTTCCCCCACCTCCTCTTCCCCCACCTCCTCTTCCCCCACCTCTTCCCTCACCCCTTCCCCAGCGCCCACCTCACTATCTGCTCCCTCCTCCTTTTTAACCACGAAATCCCCAACCCCCCCTTCACTCATACTCCCCTTCCTTTTCCCCTTGCCATACTCTCCATCTGACGTCGCGTTAGTCCCACTTTTAGCAGCACTCCTAGCTGCGCTTTTAGTCACACTTTTACCAGCGCTCCTAGCCGCTCGTCCACTCACACTCGTGCACAGCTTCACCAGCACCAGCTTCTGCTGCCGGTCATAAAACTGCTCCAGCATGCCACGTGGCAGCCCCAGGCGACGCCACGTGGCAGCACCAAAAACATCCTCCTTGCCCTCACCACCACCACCACCACCACCACCACCACCAGTCACATACCCGCTATAAGCATCTCCAGCAGCGTCCGAAGCGAAGCCCGTAGAGGGAGAGGAGAAGGCAGGGTACTGCAGCAGGTGGTTAAGCAGTGCTGTTAGCTCCGAGTCATTTGGGCCGAAAAAACCCACCACCAGCACCCCCTTGCGCTCGCCGCTCGCGCTGCCACTGCCGGCACTGCCGCTACCACTGCCGCTGCTGCTGCTACTGGTACGGCTGGTGTTGGTGGTGCTGCAGATGCGATGGGGAGACACACACGGGTTTAAGGTAGGTACAAGGAGAAAAAATGGGAGACACGAGGCTACGTGAGACACATGCAGAGAGCGGGAATATTCAAATAGGAAGAGTGAAATGAGGGCTAGATAGCGAGGCCGAGAGTGAAACCCCAGCGCAAGATGATGGAACGAACTTACAGCAGGGAAAAAGGCATTTCTCCTCTCACCCTGGATATGACGTGGCAGTTGATCCGGCGTCGCTGCGCGCCGATCCTTCACTTTGCTCCGCAATTCGCGGAAAACGTCCTCCGCCGCTTACCCTCCCTGCGCCTCCTTCCGCAACGGAGACCTGATGTCCCCCGCCGCCAGGCCTCGAAAACCCGCCACTTCCGCTCCGGCTCCCGCGCGCCGATCCCGCGGAGTTAATATCTACCATTGATTGCCGATAAGCCTGCTGGCCTGGCGGCCGTTGAGATTGATACCTAGGCTGTTGCTGCACCAGAGGGTGCCGACGCTCGCGTGTCGAGCCACGCCCTGGATCGCTGCTGTCCCCGCTGTCTCTACCCCTACCGCGACCAGCGCCGCCATCGTCGCTGGCCATCGGCCGACAATCTTTGCAAGGAAATGAATCAATGTGACCGGAAAAAAGAAATATGAATTATCAGTAAAATGGGGATTGTTGTCGTCACGTCAGTAGTCCAACGGTTAGGATATTTGCCTTTCAAGCAAAAGATACGGGTTCGATTCCAGGCTGACGTATTATGGGTAAAAACAACCTTACTGAAATCATTTGTTGCTGATGCAACAAGATGTGAGAAATGTTCACAATTTTGAGCGGCAGGCAGCACCTCCAAACATAATCTTAAAGCTGCGGTCTACATACCAAAGGGTATTTTCTGGGGGTATTTCGGGTGCACGCCCTAAGACGCAGTCTGATTTGCACACGAAATGATCCCTTTCCAGAAATGAGAGCGCGAAGGATTCAAACACAGCTGGCGAATCCCGCCAGTTTCGTGCAAGGTTTGGTTGGGGGGGTACTTTTTTCGTGAGGTTGGGGTTGTGGTGGCGATTTCGCCACAACCTGCAACCAATCGAGGTTGGGGGGTAGATTGGCGCGAAATTTGTAAGCCAATCCTGAGCAGGCCAACTTTCTGAGGGGGGGTTGGGTTGTCAGAAAGCAGTAACTGCACCTCGCCACCCAAGGATGGAGCGAAGCCCTGTGCTACCTGGTTTTCAAGTGATAAACCAGGTCCTCCCGCAGGAGATATGTAGGCGACAGCTTTAAGAGTGTTTTTACCGTAGGTTTAGGGAACGCTGAACTCCCGGCCTAACTCAGAGGGGGAAGCAGGCCCTCAGATTCGTTTTTAGCCTGTCTGATTCGTCAGACTCTCACAAAGTTGTAGTCTGAATCTGACAGAGTTGCAAAAAAAAAAGGCTGAAAGTTCAGAGTTCCCTTAAATAAAAGTCTTAAAGATTCAGAATCATCGCCTACAACAAGTCTGGTTGTCTTTCTAGCTGTCTTGCTGAACTGTTGGTCTTGTTTGAACTACGTAACGTACATTGCAAAAGCCTACATACAAAATGCTACTTTTCTTTGATTAGCCAGAGCTAGAACTACCCTATTCATGTATCTTAGCACTACAACATCCTACTAATCCTCCTCTCCTAGACTCCTACTCATTAAATCCATCATCATCATCGCTGTCAACTGCATCCTGCTCATCTTCTATGTCAACTACTTCCATCTCTTCATCTGCCTCCCTGCCCTTCTCGTTGTGTTGCTTTCCTGCAGGCGGGAGTGGAGCGTTGCTCTGGGGCTTGCGCTTCTTGTAACTCCTCCAGACAGTCACAATCTCATCCCAGTCGGGGGCGTAGTCCATCAAGCTCATGCACATAAGGTCCCCCAGGCGAGCATCCTTAAGCGCGCCCCTCTTCCACGACTTAATGATGTTCTGGCGGGAGAACCCCCGTTCGCACTCCACGGTGCTCAGCAGCAGTACAGCAACCGCCACCCACAGGAGCGCCAAGTTGGGGTAGTTCTCCCGCCAGTCGGGAGTATTGAGCATGGCAGTGAGACCTGCGTGAAAGCTGCGCTCGCCCTTGGTAGATGCTGCAAGCACCGAAGTGAACATGCGCAGCTCCTTCTCTGCGCGGCGCTTGTCAATTCCTGACGGGATAGGAAATATAACAGGAGGAGCAAGCTCAGAACCCAAATTCAAACATTCATTGAAGCGACATGCAATACAAACGATGCATCGGGGTAGCCTGATATTAAAACCAAGCGGCTTAATGGCTTACCTGGCAGGATCTCATCCGTCAGGTCGGCCTTGAACAGCGTGACAAGCGACTGAAGCCACTCGAGGCACCTGCGGTTCCTCTCTCCACGCTCCAGCGGGCACTCATCGGGGGTGAAGAGCCTAGCGCCGGACATCCCGTTCAGGTCGCCAAGCCGGTGCTCCAGTTGGTGCACGATCACCTCGGCGAACTCTGTGCAAACCTCCACACAGCCATCGTGGGTGCCGGGCCCTTCGAACTCCTCAAGCTCGTCCTCGTGCAGCACGAATTTGAAGCGTGCTGGTCGGCTGTCCGAATCAATCCCTTCAACCTTCACCTCCCGGTTTCCTCCAGGCCCATGGCGCGCGATGAAGGGGGACAGCAGCTCGCTGACGCCGCCTCCGAAATCGTCTCCGCAGTCGACGTAGCGGCTCTCGATGTGGGATGTTGTACGCTTGATCTGCGCATGCACGCTGGCATAATCAAGCTGGAAAGAAACACGTGGAAAGGTGGTTAGTGACTGAAGGTTAGAAGAAACGAAGCTGGCATTAGCACAAACACTTAACAACTAGTAACAAGAAACCAGAGCTTACCTCCTTGTGCTGGAATGCCCTGTTGAGTATGTTCAGCTGCTCAAGCACATCTGCAATGAAAAACAGGAGGAAATGAAACCTGTAGCTCGTCACCAGCGCATAGAGCGTCGCGTCCCACTCCTTCAACATCACGATGAGAGCCGGAAGGATGGCGACGAGCCTGAGCACTGCGTCGCCCCGCGAAAGCCAACGGACTGCATGGATCCCTTGCAGCTCCAGTGAGGTGGAGGTGAAGACTTCATGCAGCCCCATGAACCGCTGATGCCATGGCCCACTTCGACCGAGATGCTCAGCCACGGTGCGGATCACCGTCTCAATGACGTTGAAGGCGGGAATCTTCTCTGCGGCTGTTTTAGCCGCCAGTGCCTCCCTGTAAAAACAAAAAAGGAAACATTAGTCACATGTAGCCGTTAAAAAACTTCAAACAATTCTATGCACCTACAGGCATACCTGTGCGCGATGCAGTGGGATGACAACAAATAGGGAATGCGCACGCGGAGGCGTGTCGTGAGGCCGCCCTTGCAGCCCATCATGACGTTCGCGCCGTCGGTGCTGATGCCTGCAATGCGCTGCAGGTCGACCCCGACTGCCAGCAGGTGTGATAGCAAAACGCCCAGAAGAGAAGCGGCGTCGGCCTTCTCCACGGTGAGAAGCGCCATGAACTCCGTGACGACCTTGAAGTCACGGACGAAGGTGATGAACAGGATCATGTGCTTCCCGCTGCACCTATCCGTGCTCTCGTCAATCGAGATGCCGACGAAGGGCGACGACAGCATATGTTGCAGCAGGGTTGTCTAGAGCCATGTAGCTGTAGCTTGCGTCAGCTCACCGAAGCCGTATCTGCACATGGAACCAATAGTCAGTAACAAAGTAGTTAGAACATTATTAAAACGTGGGTGTTTATAAAGAGGCATATGGCAGTTGCACTCACGTGGTGTAGTAGGTGCCGTACCCTCTCTTAGGGAAGCCTTGCACGCCCTTCTCCGACAAGTACCGCACCAGTTTCACCCATATCCCCATGGGCGCGTTGGACCTGCTGATGAACAGCAATGAGTCCAGAAGGGCGACAGTCCGCATCTTCTCACTGTCCACCGCGGCGCGATGTTGGTCGATCTGTGGCTGCCGTCCACCGCACTCCTCTTCAGGAATCTGTCTCAACCGCCAGCTTGTGCTTCGCCGTGCAAGCGTGTTTACGGAAAGACTGTGTCTGCAGGTCGGTGGCGCCTCTCCCGCGCCTCCCGCACTTTCCTGCATCGCCATCATAGGCTGCACAAACGGTACACTTGAACGCAGGCAAGCCGGTAGTGGTTTTAGAGATTCTGAGCCACGGAAAACGGGTAGACCAATGATTTTTGAACTTGTCAATCGCTTCGTCGTAAACTCCCTCGATGAGCTCGGCCAGATTGATGTTGAGGCGAGGTCGCGGTCGGTCAGATGTTCCGGGAGCGTTGTTGACGTTGGCAGTTGACGACGCAGGTTTGCCGAAGGTCAAGGTCGCCTGCTTGAGACGGATCGTGCGCGCCGTGGTCTGAGTCGGAATCTGCGACTGTGAATCTACGGTTGGTTCTGCAGATGTCTCTGCCACATGGTCGGGAGAAAGTGAGATAACTGGAGCCGCGGGTGCTTTCTGTATGGGAATCGTATCGGGCGTGGCGCGTGCAGCTTTATCGAGATCTAGTGTACTAAGCAAGAAGTCCAAGCCTGTTAAGGCAGACCGCTCATCAGGGTCGTCGTCGCCTGTGGCGGGATTGTCCAGCACCGCCATGGCGGGGCTATGAAAGAGCCTGCCGAGCAAGAACTAGAGAGATGATGGCTGAGGCAAAACTGAGCACTGGCTTGGGCCCGTGAGTTGAAGCTGAGGGGTGTGGATGAAACCCTAGCACAAACACGAAGGCCCTTTACCAAGATGGGCGATCATTGAGTTGTGTGGGTGGTTGCCTTCCATGCACGGCAACGACGAGGCGCATCGTTGCAGTGTGTGGTGTGGATGTTGCAGCATCGTGGTACACGATGCTGCCTAAAGGACCGTCTGCTTGCCGTCACGTTTACATGGGTGGCAACTGCTGCAGCATCTTGTACAGGGGTGGTAGTGGAGTTCGTGACGGCGGACAAAAGATGCCAAACGCACCAATCAATGCGCGAGGAGGGTGTGTGCTGGAGCTTACACCGAAGGAAAGAACGCGCCGTAGGGCGGGTGAAACATCCAGCTGTACGAGGGAAACATCGGGCCGCAGGGTGGCGGTACAGGTACAATGTATGTACCACAGCTAATCCTGGGTGTCGGCGCACAGGTAGATTCATTCAGAGTCGGAACTCGTTTGTACTCTGAATTCATCAGAGTACACTCCCGGAAAACTCTGAAACGTCAGAGTCAGCCTATAGAAAAATCTGATTTTCACAGAGTTGAGACAATAAAAAATCTGAATTTTACAGAGTACACCCTAAAAAAAATCTGAAATCTCAGACTAAAACAAGCAAATCAGACAAAAAAGTCTGACTTCTGGGGGCCTGGGGGGAAGGCTGATGGATCAGCCAACCCCACAACCAATGTATAGGGGCATGACTGAGTCCTGACTGATCCTTGGGTGTGAGGGATTACGCCAAAGTGGCGGTAAATTCATGTCCTCGTTACTTCAGGTTCTGCATGTTAAAGTATCAAATTATACCAGTAAGAGTACTTACCTCTGGGAGATTTACGGTGCTCTCCATGGTTTGGCAACCTGTGTTACACGCACACTGTATAGCACACGACTCGTTGGCAGCTAGTTTAGCTAAAGTCCCTAGGGTCTCTATCGGTTGTAGGTGTCAAATTATATGCCTGTGTCATAATAAAATGTAGGCTTTAGTGGGGTAGCTAATGTAGGGTATAGGTTTTGTTACTTGTACCCAACATTCTCGATAGTCAAACCCATCCTTTCCCTTCACTCTCGACATGGTATTAAGAGCAACATAGGTCCTTAGGACCGTTTTAGGACTGATTTTCAGGGCCCACCAACCGTTTTCCGCCGGTTACCGAGTTACCCCGCCCCTTGCCTACACTGCCCTGCGTCGCGCAGCCCTCGCGCTCGCCTCTGCTGGCCCTCGTACAACCCGCTAGCAGCCCGCCTGCTGCCTCGTCAGCCCCGCGCGTAGCTAGCTAGCGGCCTAGTCAGGCCCGCGCGCTGCCCTGCAGCCCCCGCGCTGCCTTCTCCTGCCCCGAGCGCCGCTCCGCAGCCCTCGCGCTGCTTTCTACGGCCGCCGACGCGGCCTCGCCAGGTCGCTGTCGCGGCCCCGTCCTGCCGCCGACGCGGCCCCGCCTGGCCTGCGCGCTGCCCCCCGTCGCCCGTCGCGGCGCCTGTGGGACCCGCGCGATGCCCTGCACCAGCGACGCCACCCCTGGAGCAGCCCCCCCTGGACCCAGAGCAGCCGCCCCTGGCCCCTGCAGACGCCGCCCCTGGAGCAGCCGCCCCTGGACCCAGAGCAGCCGCCCCTGGCCCCTGAAGCAGCCGCCCCTGGAGCAGCCGCCCCTAGACCCAGAGCAGCCGCCCCTGGCCCCTGAAGCAGCCGCCCCTGGTGCAGCCGCCCCTGGACCCTCGAGCAGCCGCCCCTGGACCCAGAGCAGCAGCCCCGGGCCCCTGAAGCAGCCGCCCCTGGAGCAGCCGCCCCTGGACCCAGAGCAGCCGGCCCTGCTCGCCCGGCGAGCGCCTGCCCTTCCCACCACTGGTGAGCACCTACCTTGTTCGCGCGCTGCCGCGCCGTCTGCCTGCCTGCCTGCCTGCCTGCCTGACTGCCTGCCTGCTTGCCTACCTGCCTGCCGCGCCTGCCCTGCCCGCGCTGCTACTGCTGCTACTGCTGCTATTTCTGCTACTGCAACTGCTGCTACTACTGCTACTGCTGCTACTGGCGGTGGCCAGATGCAGCTCCGGCGACGTCCGCGTGAGTCTCTCACGCCCCAGCAGCTTCGTGAGTGGTACACTAGTTGGGGTTGTGGAGGTCGCCGTCGTGGCTCTCGCCCTGGAGCTGGTCAGTCGGGAGCGTCTGACAGTAGCCAGTTGCAGCTGCAGTGGCGTCCGCGCGAGACACTTACGCCCCAGCAACTTCGTGAGTGGTACGCTCAGAGTAGAGGATCTTTGAGTCCAGTTCGCTGCCCGTACGTCATTCGCACAGGTGATCGGGTTGGCCAGGCTTGCGGGACGCCTGGTCACACACAGTCCCGCTGCTTCGCCCTTCTTTCGCGACAGCACCACCCTCACGACGCTCAGTCGGCCGGTTGCAGTCTCTCTGGCAGACCCCTCTGGGGGTCTAGTCCGTGCGACCTCCACCACTGTCCTCCCTTGTCCTGCTGTCCCGTCCGGCACACTGTCGGGTCTTTACCTCCCCTCATTCTCTACGAACTTGGTGGCGGGTTCTGCGCTCCAGGACGCGGGTGTTCACCAGTTCACCCCTGCCTACGAGTGTGTGACACACTGCACGTGTGCTCAGACGGGTCGTCTCCTGGCTACCTTCACTCGGCAGCCGGAGTCGGACCTGTACACACAGACCACTGAGTCCCCTCAGGTAGCTGCGTCTGCGTCTGCGTCAGGTCAGCTAGCGGCCCCCTGCTCGTGTCGCGCCTTGTCGCACCAGACCCTCCTTTGGCACCACCGCCTTGGTCACCCCTCGGTGCAGCGCCTTCGTAGCATGCACCGCCGTGTCCTTGTCTCTGGTCTTCCCAGGGTTCTCCCTCCCCTCCCACCCTCGCCTGCTCCTCCCTGTCTTCCCTGTGTCGAGGGGCGGCAGCGCGCTGCTCCCCACTCCTACTCGTTCCCTCCCACAGAGGCTCCCCTGCAGACTCTCCACCTGGACGTGTGGGGCCCAGCCCACGTCCGTGGACAGGGCCACGAGCGGTACTTCCTGCTGGTCGTCGACGACTACACGCGTTACACCACGGTCTTCCCCTTGCGCACCAAGGGTGAAGTCCCTGATGTTTTGATCCCTTGGATCTGCGCTGCCCATCTCCAGCTCCGCGAGCGGTTCCAGTCGAACTTTCCTGTCCTACGTCTGCACTCTGACAGAGGTGGTAAGTTCTCCTCAGACCTCTTGGCAGCCTTCTGTGCGGAGCACGGCATCCGCCAGACGTTCACGCTTCCGGCCTCTCCGCAGCAGAATGGGGTTGCTGAGCGCCGCATTGGCTTAGTCATGGAGGACGCTCGTACCTCCATGATCCATGCGGCTGCCCCCCATTTTCTGTGGCCGTTTGCGGTCCGGTACGCCGCGCATCAGCTCAATCTCTG